CTAAGAAGCTGACCGAATAGTAAATATTACTCTAAGAGCAGGGGCTAATTTGCCCTGTGGAATGCACCTCATCGGCACCGGGATTGTACACCGTGATTGTGTACTGCTGTAAATAAAGTATTGTAAAGAGTCATAAATCTTACAATTATTTGAGGAGGTTAATTGCGGGAGTGCATAGTTTTTACAATTAATTTTCCACTTACGAAAGAGACATAAATGGATAGAAAAGACTAATAAAATATAAGAAATCCTAGCTTTTCTCCAAAAAGGTTTTATTGTCCTATGCAGATGTTGCAAGTGCTGATGGGGCTGTTTAATGTTTATGACAACTTTCCATAAGAATATACTTACACATAGTACTTATTAATAAATATCAATAATTAATAATAAAGTGGTTGGACACAACAATACTTCGGTCAAATTTATTATAATATAACATTTTTGATGCAAAGTGACACATATAAAATTAATGTGTTAAAAACCATTGGTACTCACTTGCCAAAGTACAAAGTTATTTTCCTGAAGAAAATTATAGAAATAAAAGCATAAAAACCAATTATCAAATATTATTGTACAAAAGTATGTCCTATTTTGCATTTTGTTTTCATCACACAAATCATCATTTACTTTATCAATTAACAGTTAAGAAATCTGGAAAAATACTAAAGCAGGGGTCCCCAATAAACCATTCAAATTGGCAACAAAAATAATATTACTTTTGAACTTATAAAGTAAACTTCCAAAATATAACCTAATTTAATTTAACCTAAAATTATTGAACTTTTTACCGTTTTAAGTACGCCTGCCTATGTGCGGGCATATATTTTTATTTGTGCATTATGTGTATTATTGACTAAACTATAAATTTACCTTGAAAAATAAATGGTGCCCGCCGCCTGACCGGCATTCTAGAATGTGCTCTTGGGTACAAAAAGGTTGGGGACCCCTGTACTAGAGGAATAGAAAAATAATGAACAACAAATTAATATGGTTCATGTAGAATGCAAATACAGATGATTCTTCTTTAATTTGGAATTTCATTTTTTTTCGAAATATCGTATGATTTTATAACTTTTCTTTTTTATTCATATAGAAATTAACGAATCAATTAGTTTAAGAAAATATTTTTATAATTAACAATGAGGACGACTAATGGCTGAATAGTTAAGTCGCCCTACCCACGATCTAGTGGGCATAGCCAGACCCTTTGTGAGCCCTCTCGGTGGCAATAGGGCCATCGTTCATCACAGATCGACAGCAAAATAAATAAGGTTCAGCATATGGACCTTCAGCCAAATCGATGGACAATGACAGTGTTAAGGAATATCTTCTTCTGGTGTTGTCGTTGTGGAGTCTCAGTTGTAGGAATTAAATAATTCAATTGGTTTAAAACAAGTTTATTATAATACTTGGTACTCTTGGGTTTTTTTCCAAGACAATGTAGATACTTTAAGAGATTGACTAAGACTAATGCTAAATACCTATTGTACTAACAAAGTTAATTCGTATTAATACGGACGGGGTGGGAGTTCGAGGAGTAAGGCACGTTTTGAGAAGACGCTCCGCTTCAGGTTACTGTGGGATCTGTTTATTCTGCAGTTTGGTCTTATCAGTTGAAAATAGGAAGGAATGTTACAATGGGTCTCACTGTGAAGGTTCCCTTTCTCTGATGCATATGTTTATATAATAAGGCGACTAAGAGACGCCGTGGATGTCTCTAATTCGTTAATACACTATATTAACAATAATAATTGTAATAATAACGGTTGGACACAACAGCAGATTCACAGTGAAAGGAAATAGTAAAACAGCCAACCAATAATATATTTATATGTTTTGGTTTGGTAACAAACAATTCAATCAGAATCAATATAAAAGATATAAAAAATTGATTGTAGATTATTTTTTTTTTTTTTTGGTACTTCTTAGTTTCTTATATTTAGATAAATAGTCATGTAAAAACATTTGCTTTTAGTTACCAAGAGAAAAATGAAACCATCCGGCTACCAGGCTCTGCATTTTCAAGTTTAATGTTCTCATTGAAAACAGTTATACAATTACATTACGATCCATTAAAATTTTAACTTTGCCCAATGTTTATTGTATACATTAAACTATTTTATGATATAATCAAGGTTATTGTTATGCAGAATATAGATGAAACTTATAACAATTCGAATCTTAGAACAATTTTATTTGTAAGCAATTAGCATAATATACTGTAAACGAGTCGAGACGCTTAACGCAATAATAAATTGTGCACGTCTGGAACTGGACCAAACTAAATTTTAGATTTAAGTGTTGTTTTCAGCTTTCCGAGGATTACACCTAAGTATATTTTCTCGAATAACATTGACTCCGCGTCGATTCAGCTACTCTATCCACAAATCCATTCGAAAATGATTACGTGTACATATAAATTTAAGTTGGAAAGAGACTAACAAAAAGAAACTAGAAAAGCAAAAAGAAAGTTAATGCATTTAAATCCGATTATTTTCACGCTTCGCAGACGAGATTTGGCAGAGGGAATTGCATATATGTAAACTGTCAGGGGAATAATTTTCGGCGAGTTATAATAATGCAGTGACATAAATATCATCCAGATTATGTGTATAGGAATGAAATGCGTTCGCCACATAAGTCGAAAGGCGGAAGAGATTTATGGTGGGTAGATGTGGGCGAAACAAATGGAGCAAAGGGAATCTATACAAAAAAAATTGTCAAAAAAAAAAACTAAATAAAGAATTTTTAAATTGAAATAAACGAAACGTTGGATATTTTCTGAAAATACGAAAGAGTAAGGTGTTGCAATTAATTTGATTGTATAAATTCATTTATTTCTGACACTCTTGACGTTTGAAAATTTGCGAGGGATGTCAGAGTTGGAGAATTGCATTTTCGTTGCGAAGCAATTAACATGGGAGGATGGAAACGTTTACGAGTTTACGTGCTCTCCAGAACGGGTAGTAAAAAAAACTTAATTATTTGCGTTGATATTGTCGATGCATGGAATTAAAGGAAAACCGCTTTGTTCTTTGGCTTTTGTGAAATGTACGTTTTCGCATAATTAATCCGAAAGGGGGAAAAAGCAGTTTGCACGCGCTTTCTCCTTATTAGAGGCACACACGTAAACTCTTACTGCTGCAACGATCCACCCACTCTCTTTTCTCTATATTTCTTTACAACACCCCCCTTGTTATGTGTTTTTATTGCATCGATAAGCCGCCCCAATTATATGACCAGCCACCCTCATCATGCTTTGTTATATTTCGCGAATGTAGAATAAAATAACTATAAAAGAAATACGGTTTGTTAAGTTGTCTGTAATGCAGCATCGATAAAATACTAACGAATTGCTCAATTTTATGTAACGAGAGGTATTCTCACTTATGATATGACAGACAACGCAATACTTGTCTAGTACATTTCAACCTCGCTTAACGAGTTTAATCCGTTCCAAAATTTCCGGATTTTTACTCGTATAGTGAAACATATTCGAAAATACACATAAATACACACAATACACAAATACACATATGTGTACACAATTTTTGAAAATGATGTAGCAGGCGCGCAATCCGGAACTTCTCTTCTCATCGTCACTTGTTATGCAAATCGTCGCTCGTTAAACGAGTCATTTTTCTTACAATTCATTTTGCTCGTTAAGCGAGGTTCCATATATATAATCGATGAAGTATTTCTTACAAAATTGCACATTACTTATGTATGTTTATTTCGGCATAAAGTAAGACTTTGGAATTACTATAATATTGTTGTTTTTTTAAATAAAAATTATAATTGTCATGTAATCCAAATAATTAGGTTTTATGTGTATAACATTCATTCATATTCATGAAGTACCTCAATTAACGAATAGAATGCGTTTCACAAAATTACTTCTTTAAGTGAACCTTCGTTTTTAAAGTGTGCTGCAAAGGGGATACTAAGAAAAGCTTTTTATTTTCGAATAATGAAAAGTTTTTTAATTAAATAATTAACTTGTATGCAAAGTAAAATATATGATATTATATATAAATTTGAATTCTTGTGCTTTTCTCTAGTTCATTAGGAATTATTACATTTATCATTGATCACTTAAGCGTAACACTTCTTCCTAAATCAGGATCATTTTCACTCAAAAAAATAAAACATTTTTAATGTAATTGGAGGACCTTTTCATATCATTGGGTGTTAACATTTTTCTACAGGAACTTCCTTAATTCCGTCAATTTTTTTTTTATAAATTTTCTAAATCTTTATTAAAAACATGTTCTCTACATTTATAAATATTATAGAAATTTGATATTAATTTTAACAAATCTAAGATTTTGATTGTTAAAAATTTAATGTTTTCAGTTATATTGAAGCATATATATTTGATTCAATTATCAATTTTTATGCATAACATATAAATTAGAAATAATAAATTTCAATTAGTAAGCAATAAAGTAAATTTATAGAAAGTGAATTATATTAAAAATATCTAATAAACTTGTACTAAATCAAAATTTATTTAACATTGGAAATGACTAACAAACATTGCAAAAACTAGATAATTATTACTTAATCAGTTAGAAATATAGGAAGAAACAGTATTTGAACCATATTTCGTATAATTTTAGTTAAATTATTTAATAAAAATATTGCTTCTATAACATAAATAGGAATGGTTTATTTGTTAAGATTATTCTCTCAATAGTTTACTACAAACATACAGAAAAATACTAGCAATTGATATATAAGATATTATTTTATGTTAATCTAGTTGCTAATAATAAAAATGTAAGTTTTGAACAATTCATTGATTCATTAATAAAATTAATTATATCATATTGTACTTTCGCTAATACGAACAAATAGCAATTTCACTGATTATTTTCCCGAAGCTGAGCATTCTACTCTAATAGTTTACTTCAACTGACCATTCTTTTCTACTGTAACATAACATAACTCTTCATTACGGCAGCACTTAATCATCACTAATTTAATTATTGTTCCAGAACAGCAACGGTAGCAAGGACGTCGTCGTACGCGCTCCTCGCAGTGTGCTTCCTGTTCATCTATTTAGCTGCAGGCGCAGGACTCTTCGTGATGTGGGAAGAGGATTGGACGTTCTTCGACGGTTTCTACTTCTGTTTCATAACGATGACGACGATAGGCTTCGGGGATCTGGTTCCAGGTAATGTGCGTCCATTGTTTCTGTTCAGTATCCGTCCGAGACGTGAAAATAAACCGCGGAAATTGGCCACTTTCGCAGCGGCCGATAAATTTTATTGGATTTAAAATAAACTTGCTCCGACGATAAATCCAACCGATTCCGAATGAAACTCAACAAGTCTGACGAAGATTATAATTTCGTTGCAATCTGTCTTGTTATTCGCGCACGGTTTATTTGCAAAATTTTTCTGTGTTTCCTCTCATTTTTTTCTTCTCAATCCTACTTTGCTGCTCTCTACTAGATTTATGTACGTCAATATATTATATTTACGCGTCGATCGTAAATAATAGCGACACTAATTCGCCGACAGCCAGAGGCTACTTTCGAATAAATATATCGAGGGTTGATCCTGTGGGAATATCGACTACCTCCTAGGGAATTATAAATAAATAAGCAAAGAAAGAACAAAATTGGAATACCTTTCGATGCTAAACACATCGGTATGCTAAATGCGGACGTTTTTAATGAGCCCGCAACAATAAAAGGACATGAGTCGGTGTGCAAATGTGAGATGGATTTTAATATGTACTTCGCGTGTTTGCCGCGTTGTTTATTGGCACAAAGTCAAAGGTTAGAGCGGAAAATCCGTTCGAATCGGTCTTTGATTTTACAAAAAAAAAAAAACACAAAAACGACGCGGGATCGTTACATTTATTTATGGGCCATTTCAAATTTTTGTTAACTTATGCATCGATTTTTTTTTTGTCTCTGTTCTTGTAAATACATCGACACCCCTCGAAACCTACGCAGAAAATGGAAATGCCAGTCGTTTCTCTCTACACGCTCATCATAAAATATAATAAGTAACATGTTCGGATTATTATTTAATGTATTGTGAAATGTAATCACTCGAGGGGCAAAAAGGGTGTACAAAATAAATAAAAGATGCCCTACTTCTGCAAAAAACTTTAATTTTACGACTGCTCCCATCACAATTTGATCGCTCTTTTTATTTGTTATATTTCTTACAATATTAAGATTATAGTGAACAATAGTTTTATAGTAACAATTTTCTTACCATTAACACATTTTATCTTTACATAACATAATAACATTATACAAAGAAATTTAGAAGCAAACATTGAAGGTAAATTCATTAGAATAAATGGTTCTGTATTTATGATATTATACTGTAATTCAATTATTTCATATTTCCATTGGAAAATCTATGTTCAAAATTTCGATCTGTTAACTTTGATTTTATAATTAACTGATATATTTACATATTTACATATTTTCTTATAACTTTAAAACTTTACTGTTAAAAGTAATTGAAAACACTCATTGATAAACACTTAACACAGTTTCAACCAACTAAAACTTTCGAAATTTTGATATATTTTTTCTTCCAGTCTTGTATAAATTCGTAACTTGGATCCTTTATCATACATCAATCAATATTCATAGAATATTCACGATTTGGTTGAACGATTTTGGTTTCTTATCATTTTCAATTTATAGGAAAATAAACATATCATAACATTTTACTTTCTTTATTTCTCATTAACTAAAAAAGTTATAAATCTTCTTGATTTATAAGATTAGCACTTTACTAAACTTTTTCTATAAATATAATCTATAATTATTTAAAAGATTTTGAATTCTCAATTTAAGACTTAAAGTTTAAATCAACCGTAATATACCGAAACTAGAAAATATTTTGATAAATTTAGGATATGCACATTTTCCAGCGATTTGTATTCGGTATTTGTATGCACGTACTATTTTTCTTCATCGATCCATCTAAACTTCTATCATTCAAGGTACTTGCATATTCACAGCAGGGTCTTTGCATTTTCAGTATCGCAATATCTGCACGATCAAATGGAATTAGTTTTTGATTATTGGCAGGAGCCAAGTTATACATTATCAAGTCGATAGATGTATTATCTTAAGATTTCATGAGTTTAAAATTATAGACCAGGCATGCCATGATTTCTATCATTTTTGTAGTAATCTTGAAGCACTTAAAGTACCACACGGCATCGTCGATTACATGATATTATACCAAATTTATTCAAAGTTTATATGATATATTTTTTACTATATAATCTTACATAATTATTTCAAAATTTTAAAAACTTTATTTTTAAATAATGAGATCGATTACCCTTCCTATATGTACTTTTTATGTATGCAAGACATTTTATTTTACTTTACGAAAATTCAATTCAATCTAAAAGTAAAATTTTAATGACTTACAAAAATTGTATTTTGTCAATTGGGTCGCATTAAGAAATACATTGTGTTGAATGGATAATAAAAGTATACATAAATTTGATTCGAATTTTTAAATGTAAATTCTAATAATAATCATTAAATGATTTCATGATAATTGTGAGAATGTTAATTATGTTGAGCCAAAATCAATAATGTGCATCTCCGGTATTTGCCCACTGAAATGCATCAATAATTGAAGTGCCTTGTGAAATTGATTAATTTAATTATTGATTTTAACATTTTTATAAACAGACAAACCAACGTACATGCTACTCGCGACACTGTACATCCTGATAGGATTAGCATTGACAACGACGATAATCGAACTGGTCCGAAGACAATACGCTCAATCATGGAGACAACTGCAAGCACTTTCTGGACCATTGGCGGATAACCTGAGGAAACTGGCGGAGAACGCGCCGGGATTGGACGTTTCCGATCTACGAAGGGTCCTGACAGCGGTATGAATATACTGTACAATAATGATCAAACTAAATCAAACACAAACGTATAAAAACAAGAACAACAATACAAAGAAACAGTCGAACGGCCTTGAATTGAAACGATTCTTTAATTCTTTCCACGCCAACCTAGAATAACAATATAAAACATTACGTATGTATACAGCAGATAGAGGCTTAGTGTAGAACAGTGATCTTTAAACTTTGTCAACTTACAAAACATTTAAGGTTTTTCGTGTATTCTTTACAAATCATTGATCATTATTACTTACTCATTCATTAATCATTGCATTATATGTAAGTCTAGGAAGAAGGATTTTGATACAAAATTTCATATTCAACATTAAATATATTTCTGAATTTGTATCCAAAAAAGAGTGGTAATTTACACTCATCAATACAGTTTTACTGAAAAACAAATATAAATATAGAAAATATTTGTAATAGTTGTTGAAGTTATAAAAAAAAACCAGTTCGAAGATCACTGGCGTAGAAGCTTCATTGACACTACGCTTATTTAACACCCTAGTCTAGTAGCTACATTTGCAATGTGCAAAGTATTCTCATTACGTTAACATCGAATCGTGTGTATGTTCTAGGTGACCTTGGCTAAGAAGTTCAATACCCAAAGAAGCGTCGGTCAGAAGATCGAAGCGAACGGCGGCGACTGGGAGACGATGGAAGCGGTCATCAGAGGCTTCACCGAAGCGGCGCAGAAGAACAAACCTCCGATAGTGCAGGTCGTCATTTACGAGAGTTCTGTTTAGAGATCGCTCCCGTCTAGAAAACAAGTAAAAGTTATTGGCCAATAGTTTATAAAACGAATTATAAACAAAGTTTGGTGCGCTTGTTTAGAATGGGCTTTGAATTTTTGGGATGAAATTCGCTTTCAAGTAAACAAGACATAAAGAGTAAACAAAATTGATCAGACACGCTTTTTAATATACTTCTCCTTTTTGTAAATAAAACGAAATTCGAAAAAAAAAAGAAAACATTCAAATAATATTAATAATAATAATATACATGAAAGAAATACATATAAAAAGATACTGTGAGTATTATTTTCGCGGATGCAATTGCACTTGGAAACCCTCTGCCCTTTTGAGAATGATATCGGCTTGCAGCTGGAAATCCTTTTCACCCAGTTCGGAGTGCACTCGGAAGTTCCTCATTATTGTAGCCAGTAGAATCTTCAGTTTCAGCATAGCGTATTTACGACCTATTAAACCATCGTATTAATAACTATTAATCATCGAAGTTTAAACAATCGATAGCACTCACCAACGCAACTTCTTGGCCCGGCGCTGAAAGGAACGAAGGCGTAGTAATGCCTATCAGCACTTTGCTCAGGTAAGAAATGATCCGGGTCGAAAATATCGGGGTTTTTGTAGATTTCCGGATTCCGTTGCATTTTAAAAGTGGCAACAATCACCGTTGCTCCGGCAGGTATTGTATAATCACCAGACACTACAACATACAATTAACAATAATAATTAAAAAAAAAAACTATAAGATTGAGTTCTTTTTATTTGATGTACAAACCCAATTTCAACTCTTCCTTGATTTCCCTTGCGATGATTGGTACTGGTGGGTACATCCTTAATGTCTCCATCAGACATCTCTCCAAGTATTTCATTTCCAAAGTGTCTGCAAACGTAACGGGTCGATCGCTGTCCCCGAAAATATCGTCCAGTTCTTTGTGGACTTTTTCTTGTATGTCCTTGTGTATTCCCATCATGGATAGGAAGAAGCTGCTTCCTGCAGCGGTGGTATCGTGTCCTTCAAACATTATAGTATCCACCTGTTCTTTGATCTCTTCGTCGCTGATCACCACGCCGTTGCGGTTAGCCTCTAACAGCAGATCTAAGAACGCTGAGCGCTGCTTCATTCCAACATCATTATCATCAACGTCCAAATCGTCTAGTTAATAAAATAAATAAAAAATATATTTAAAAAACAGAAAATTTTTTCATAAAATATTTGATCTGAATGCATCGGGCTCATTATTTTGAAAATACAAAACTATTATTTTGTTCTTGGAACTATCTAATCTATATTTGTGTTGAAACTATTTGGAATTCAATTCATAGATGAAACATTAACAGTTTCCTTACATGGAAGATATACTTAATAAGAATAATACCACAATGCATTAATAAAGCAATTAAATTATATAAATTTGTTTTGCTTTTCTACTTTTGACTTTTGAATTATTCTAGTTGGTCTCAGTACATTTAATACACAAATAATAAGTCATTGAATGTATTGTATGAATGTATAAAATATAATATAAACGATTATAATGCTGCATCCGCACTATGCGTGAAATGATACATATATCAATTAATATGTATACGTAAAAACAATTTGCTGCCATCCGACTCTATGACAACCGATAATAATTGATATCTTTGACATTTATGTCAATAATTTCATACATATGAATATACAAAACGTATATTTGCATTAATTGCTTATAAAATCACAATAATAAACAAGTTTTCAGATTAAGGTAAGTACAAATTGCGACTTTTCAATATCTCCGATATATCCATATGTTTTAACATATGGAATATGCGCACTTTTACTTGATGAGTTCTAAGTAATTTACATAGATTTACATCATACATTTTAATTAATAAGCTTTGAAAACGGTGTTCAGTTAGAAGAGAAAATTCCTAACAAATTATTAACAGTTACTAACAACTGTTCATTTCACTTTAATTGCTAAGAAACCAACCAAATAGTCTCCATGACTACCATTGCTTGTTTCACAAACATTTGCACAACCCTTAATACAAGTTAAGTAATAATAAAAGTTACTTTCTATTGTCCAATATTTAGATAATTAAATTAAACTTTACCTTTCAATCCGGCAGCTTGACCAAAGGACATTCCTTCCACCGATGTAGTTTTCCCATTTTCGATACCATTACACTTCACCACATTATTCGTGCTTTTACCGTTTGCATAAATTTCCTTCTTCTTTTTGATCACCCTCCTGGTCAGACCATGAATGACGCCCAACAGTTTATTCTGCAATCTACCGTACGTACTCAAATTGAAAAGAACATCGGACCTCAACCACAACTTCGTATGCCTAAAATGCAAAATATCGCACATCTTCATCACAGCCATCGCGTATTCATAGCCGCTTTGATTTTGCGTGGATTTGTTCACACCCATTGCAGTTTCTATACAATAAAATAATACACAAATAATAATTATATTTACCGATTTTTTATGTTAATTTACCTAGTAACATTTCCACTGTTGCTTCTGACATGTAATCGTGACAATCGATGGTCTTTCCTTTACAATCCATCAACTTTTCAACAACTGCTTTGCTGTTTGCGTTGAAGATATCGATGAAAGATTTCAGCACGTTCAAATGGAAGGTAGGTGCTATCAATTTACGATGACTCCTCCACTTTTCACCTGTGCTGATCAATAAACCATTACCTAACCACGGCTTGAAGAACCGATATTCCGTAGATTTATCGATGTAAACGTGACTACTTAAGATCAACTCTACATCCCTCGGATCGGCGAGGAAGATCAGTAGCCGTGGTCCGATCCATACCTTGGCCAATGACGGGAATTCGTAAGATAACTTGTAAATTCTATTGAAAATATCTACAATGGAACAGAAATAATAAACACTTAGAGGTCACTTTCTCCATTTGTTTTAATATAAAAAAAAATCTAGTAACCATTATTGAGTGTTTCGTTATGCAGACGTTTGCGAAACAACCGAACAAAAAGAAAAACAATCAACATTAGTGGACAAATCAAAACAAAATTTGTGACCTAAGAAATCGTTTGTTTGCTAATTTTATACGTAATATTTATTATTTAGAATTTATTGTAATTGATTTAAATTTACATTTCTTAATAGTATACAAGCACTTTTTATTTGTATACAATGTAATTATTACAAAAATAAAATGTGAATTATAAGAGAAATGTTATGTTTCTTTGCTTAGAAATTTTTATATCCATAACGGTAGCAATTAAAACGCGGTCCAACGTCGTTTCCTAATTAAACTTGTAGTCGTTATATCCATTTTTTTTAATTTAACAAGTGAGTTTTTTTTTGTAACGTTTTCTCTTAAGTAATTATTTTTTTGGCTTGTTGTACATCAAATAAAGTATTTAAGAAAGTGGTGCAACTGATAATTCTAGTTTAAAGTGGATTTTTTTAAAGCAATAAATTTTAACACCATGCATACTCATCAGAAAGTTTAAGAAGCAATTAGGAAGTAGGAAACATCGTAAAAAAACAAATATATTGCTAATAACTATTACTGAATTTTGATTTAAATTTCTATTAAATTTAAATGGGGTGCGTTTTATGATCTATTGATTTCTATAGATTTTCAATTAAAAAGAATAAAAATAGAACTTGCCTGGAGAAGATCCTAAGAATTGTAAAGCATTCCCTAATATGGGTAATCCTTTGGGTCCTGGAAACTGTTCAGCTAACTTGATCATGCGGCCTCTTGAAACCTTCCAGTAAACGTAAAGCAGAAGAAGAAACGGCACAAGAAGCGATCCGAGAATAAATCTCGAAGGAGCAGTTTTTGCCAATTTAGTGAACTCTGCTAACGCCTCCATACTGAAAAGTACGAAGATCAAAATCTGGTTGAAACGATCAGCATTATTTGCTTATCAGCAAACGTAACAACTAAAAGTTACATGTTACGATTCAACGGAGCGTTTCGCGTTTGCAAAAGGAGGAACAATTTATATTGTAGTACAAACCTGTATTCCGTGCACTTTACACCTTATCCACTTGTAAATAAATAATGTAAAGTGAATAATTAATATTCAATTAAGACGAGAGACATTTGTGGTCGTCAGTCAAGAGGTATACTGCGTTCGAAACGTGACGGAATTTTCGTTTTATACCGCTCTGACGTGCGGCTCCCCCAATTACAGGACTTCCTAATTCGAATGCAGTTGCATCATCGAACAACAATTAAAAAACATAAATAAAACAAAACGTTTATTGATCAAAAGGAAAGCATTAACATTTATGCATTTCGAATTAATGAATCGTTTCAATATGTCGTTTGCGAAGTCTGATCCTGAAGCCATCTTTTCTTTTCAAAGTTGTCTGCGCTGCTAATTGGAATTCCTTCATTGGTACTGTAGAAGTCACCGTGTATCTTCTCAGGATGTTTGCAAGCAATACTTTTATCAGTAACATAGCATATCGTTGTCCTACAAAGTTCCAAAGGGTAGATTATATCTTTTAGGTGAGGTTTTTTTTTTATTATTCACCGATGCATGTTCTGTGCCCAGCCGAAAAAGGTATGAAGCTGTATGGGCTCCTCTGCTTGATCCTCTCCGGCAGGAAATTGTCGGGATCGAAGACGTTCGGCCTCGGGTACTGACTGGGATCCCTGTGCACCTTCATGATCATCACCGCAATCGTACAGCCCTTCGGCAACGTGTACTCATCTGAAATTAAGATCCATCAGGAATTCTCTTCTCGTCTTGTTAAAAATACAGAAGTGTACCTAATTGAATATCCTCGGTGGGCATCTTTCCCATCAGGGGAATCGGCGGGTAAAGTCTCCACGTTTCTTGAATCACTTGCTCCATGTACGGCAGATTCTTGCAATCCTCGTAGTCAAGGGCCCGCTCGGAATCCCCAAATACTTTATCGATCTCCATCACGAGCTTATCCTTTGGTTGGAGTTGGACGTCAACGAGAAATAAACAAACAAAAAACAGCACATTTAAAACCAACGCATCAATGTGTATCTTTCTTTATGCCATAATTTCATACAGTAAACACCCCTTCTTTATTCCAGTTAGCTTTTTTCTCTTCCATTCTTTGCTATAAACTAGCTTCGACCAGAATATAAATACATACACTTTTTCTGGATTGAATAATTAACTTATACTCAACAAAAATATCTTATTATAAGGTTGACTAACTTACATTTACTCATAACATAAAACATATCCCATAATGAAAATAAAAATAAAGTTTAAAACATAAATTTTTAATTATTTTATTTTATGCCTTAAAATATTATATCTTCCTAATTTACTTACGAAGTATCATAAAATGTACATTTTCCTGCTTGTTTTATAATATAAACTATTTGATAAAGATCATATAGTAAACGTGACTTAAAATATAAATTGCTCGATGATATTGAACATAAATTTGAAATAAATATTTATACTAACATCTGTCAAATTCATGTTATCTTAGATTCAAATATAGTTAAAGCCTTTATTTGTCTTTACTAAAGTATCAAATACTAATTAAGTTACATGGTAAGTAGAGAATTACAAGTAAATAACTTTTCATAAATAATTCAATTCGTTATAAATCACTGCTTACTAAATCTCGAAGAAATGCAAACTAAGTTCCAATTAAATTAAGTTTTCCCTATAATAGTATTTTATGTCATAGTTTATAGATATAATGAAGATCAAGCAAATTACATCTAAATCAGAATATATACATTTAATAAGGAGATAAATCAATTTAAGCATAACAAGCAAATAAGTGACTAAATAGACCAAATTAATGTATCTATGAAATTAACTTAGTCTTAATGTGTCAAAGCCAATAACATTTTTTAACAATTGTTTGGTTTTAAGACATCACCAAAAGCTAAGAAGATTAAAATTTTAAGAAAATTTTGTTCATAAATCCACTAAAATCATCATACATTTATTTAAGAATTATCAAAGTAATTGCAGCTGAATAATATGTAATTACTACAAAAAATATGTAATTAATATTTTGAAAAATAAATAAAGTGTATGTAGATATTATGTTACCTGCTTTAAAAAATAAAAATGTTATATTTAAACAAGATTTGTATTTTTTTATTTTGATCTAATAAATTTCTTCAAATGTTAAATATAAACAACAAGAGCAGTCTTCAGTTAGTTAATATTTGATAAAAATTCCATGGATTAGAATTATAGCCAATAATTTGCAAGCAAAACGTTCGTAAGGGAATATTTATTTCAGTTGTTAGATTCTCCAAATAATACATATGTAAAACATAGTTGTTTGTATTGTCTACAATAAATTTGGGGACTAGTTTGCAGCAATTTATTTCATTGTAAATTAAATTATTTAGAAAACCAGTTTTTTTTTTAAAGGAGAAAGAAATCATAGAATTTACCTGTATATCCGGATTTAGACCGAGTAAACTGAGTGCGAATCCAACGGAGACGGTAGTCGTGTCCTGACCCTAAAATCACCTTAACTATTTACACGCTTTTTACATAATGTTATTACATTTTCCGTACTGCGAACATCATTGTCATGACTTCATCTTTGATTTCCTGATCGCTCAATCCTTGTCCTTGCTCGTCTCGCGCCTTGAAGAAGCCGTCGATAAATAGCGGCCAGGATCTTTCATCGGAATCACCATTCAGATAGGATTTCTTCCGCTCCGCTATAACTCTTTCAGTTAAAGGATGCACCACTTTCAGATATTTCTCTTGCGTCTGTCGTAGCTTCGAGAAGCGGAAAATCGCGTTGAATCTCAACCACACTTTGTAGACTCTCTGATGGGCACAACGGCCTAATCTGAAATAATCACAAGTCATAAAACATCAAAATTGCATTATTAAAAATCATAAATATTAAAACAAATCATTAAAACATAAATATAAATGAATTATAAATTTATGCTAAGTGAATGTTAATTAATTTATAAAAAAAAAGGCAATAAATTAGGATGAGATCATTTGATTTTAATACTGGATATTTACTGATTGAATATTGAAAACTTCAGTATTAGATAATTAAGTTAATTAATAAAGTTTAATTCTTAATAATCATTACAAAATGATTTAGACTCTTTGATTTTATCATAAAACTTAATCTAGTTAATAAAATACATACTGTGTACAATTATTATATCATGTTATATCCACTTATTTGAAATCATTATTGTAATTAAAATATATATTGTAAAATAACAATTCTTTCATCTTCGATTTTACAAATTCAGTATTATTACTTTTATCATATTTATCATTATACCGGACTGTTTGAAGGCGGACAAATCGATGAAATAAATAAAATAGAAATAACTGGACAAAATGAGATAAACCGGTCAATAGTGAATGCGGACTAATCTTTCGAACTATATCTATATGAGGCATAGCTTTACAAATATACGAATAACTCGCATAGTGCGATTTAACGGTTCTGCACCAAAAGAGACTAATAATTTTACGTACTATTTTTTTGAGAATTTATTTTCTCTTTGCTCAATTAAAATTTAGTTTCTTTTAAAAATTTTCAACCTTAGTATTGTAAACCTGAACTAATCGAAACAGCACAATTGTAGTATACATCTTAATTGAATTGTATTATCAATTTCATGAACTTTGATAAAATACAAGTGATATTACGTTTCTATATGTATTGTTAATCAACCTTTTTTTTTGTGTTGAACACAATATTTGCTTTTATAAAAAAGGAATATTTAAGTTTAATTTTTATTATTCCATTATCCAACAACACTTACGTAATGAAAACATTTATTTAACATGCATAAATAGAGACGATTTTAATAGATTGGGAAATTCCACTTTTATAGTATGAATTTCATTTAAATAAATAATGTTAAATGCAATTACCAATTCCTAAATCTCTAAGATTTCTTAATGTTTGTCATATTTTGTTTGTTTTATGTAAAACTACTTGTTCTTAAAATTAATTTGTTTTTAAATTTTAAAACTGGATAATAAAGACGTACTATACGAGATACGACTGTGATTATATACGTACTTTTTATTGAATATAAATGCTAATAAAAAAATTAATTAGCTAGAGTTTATAAAAAATGAGTGCAAAAAGCCCTGTGTCTTATTTACTTAAGAAATCATTGAATGAAATCTTACATCATTTTGTATACTCAAAATATCAATGAACTATAAAAATGCTTATATTTTATGATATTATAGAGCAAATAATAAAAATTCCAAGATAAAGTTAAAATAACTTAAAGAGAATTCTCTTTAAACCAAGCAACAACGTAAAGCTTAAATAAACTTCATCCAAGTGACTTCATAGAATAAAATCATCTTTAACTTATTAAAATCAATGACTTCTTTTTGTTTTATCTTCAAAACTGCTGCATTTAATTGATCGATGACAAAAATTTATAACGTTATATATTTTTTTGCTATGTTAAACTACACAATTTCGATTTGAATTTCGGACTATACCTGTAATAATAACGTTATTACATTTCATAATATTTATACAAATTTGTTAGTAATAATTTTATTATATTTAAACATCAAACCTTTCTACAGCTTCTGCATAATCCAAGGCATCGACTCCCAAAGTTTCAGTTTTAACACCTAAAGAAGTCTCTGCAAAAAATTATAAATTTATTAGAAAAGCATTAAGATTTAAAAAAGTATTAATTTTAGAAATCCATATAATAATTATGTTTGTAAATTTTGATTTTGTAATGAATTTAATCGAAATATTCATTAAAATAGAAATATATTAAAAATTTATCGTACCTAATAGAACGTACATAGTAGTTAGACTCAAGAATGGATGAATATCAAATTCCTCTCCGTTCGCTTTCTCCTCCAAATCGCAATTCAACTTTTGCGCGTACTCCCCAAAAACGTGCGTGTATTGCTTCAAATTGAGCACATGGAAACTGGGTGTCAAAAGTTTCTTATTTCTTCTAAACTTAGCGCCTAAATAAGCAACAATTACCACATCCAATAAAATCTAATAAATCATAATACTAACCTTCGCTTATTAATATACTGTCACCTAACCACGACTTTAAGAACTGATACTCTTCGGATTTCACGGTGCTTCTAGAATTCTTCAAGATGATTTCAGTGTATTTGGCGCAGAGTATCACCACGTGCAGTTGAGGCCCTATCCATAACGCTATAATCTCCTTGAACTGCTTACTCAGCTGGTTGAATTTTTTGAACGCTTCTGTAATATTCAACGTTAATTATTCAAATCATTAAAAAAAAACAAAATTAATACTCTCTGGTTTTCCGTAAAACATGAGTGCGTGTCCTATAATCGGATGGCCCTTGGGGCCGGGCAATTTGCTTCCTAGTAAAACGATGTTCCTTCGACGATACTGGTAACAGATCATCACGATCAGTACCCAGATCAGGATTAGCGAAAGCATCTGCATTGCAATTTAACATTACATAATCGAATTAATTCATATTTTGATTGAGTTACAAAAAGTTTAGAACTTACCGTGAGGCTTATTTTTTGTCTTTAAACGAAAAAGTAAACTCTAATTGTCCAGGCCGCTATTTTTAACGCTTCCGATAAACCACTTGCAATTAACTGCTTTTAATAGATAATTTTATCTTTGTTCCTTGATAATAACGTACGCTTAATTGCGCCTACCATACGCTATTTCGAAATATAATGGTTGAAATACAGTTTTTTTTTTATTTCTAAAGACTAATGCAAATGCAACAGCGATAATTGTAAAGTCGTCATATATTTGTACAAATATTGATTCACTTAACAAGAAACATTATATAAGTATTAGTATCATTGCACACATGCAGCATCACAATTGTATAAATTTTAGAATTTATATTATTGAAGCTGCAATCATACCTCGGTTAACGTTTCTATGATAAGCTTCGATATACCGAATATAACAAAAATATTCTAATTGAAGACAAACGTCCGAAAATCATCCCAAAATGTTGATGTTAGAAAATTGTTGAATGCAGCAGATGATGCTTTTTCAGTGAAAGACTTTGTTATCAAAGTTAACAACAAGCAAAGATTCAATTATTTTTTTTAGCAAAAATAATCCTGAATTAGTAAGAAGTGTTACAATAATTTTTCAAATATCAATGATAAGTTGTAAAACTATTTCATCGCTGATTGTTTTTTTTTTATAAATATGTTAATTGATCATAGAAATAAAAGGTAAATTACCTGTATATGTCCTAATAATTTCCTTTTAATTTGTAGCACATGCAGTTTGCTGTTGCAGAGATAACGACACATTCGCAAATAATGATTTCGACGATCACAAGAAGCAATTGTCTACGTGTATTAATTGTTGTATGATGCGAGGCTACATACAAATTGATAATTATTGAAATTGGACGCATGCTGAATAGATAGTAGTCGAAATATAGTTTACGAAAAATAACGTCAATACAATTATTTTGTTGTTTCCAGGCCGGAAATCGATGATAGTCTTTCGTGCAAATACAATTTTTGAATTATTCATGTCAGGCTCATATTTTCGACTCTGGTGGCCCAAAGGATTTGGCAATATTAATTAACATAAGCATATTAAATATTAACATAGAAGATTTAATAGAAAAAATAAAGTATAAAATAATAAATAAAACGAGACGATGAAATTCTAGATTAAAAAGTTTAAATCAAAATATTCCTTAATATATTGTAGTTACTACAAATGATTAAAAAGCAACTCAAAAGTAGACAAATTATAAGTTTTTCATTGCACCAAATACAAATTACTTATATTATAATAACTGAAGTGATCTTTGTGCTGCTTCCATAAGAAATTGTTTCATTTACATTAGGGACGTGACAGAAAGAAGTTGTTTTCTTTGTGTTGAATATGAAGAAGATAATCCTGAAATGTAATTTGTTTATATGCGAATATGTGCAATTGCTTGGTATGGAAATGGCATTCTTGTTAACAAACATAAACATTGTGCATTCAAAATATGTTAAAATGTGACACCTTTAGCATAAGTTCCTTGAAATCTTTAATTTATTTACTAATTCAATTAAATAAATTGAGTAAAAATATTAAAAGAATACAAGTATTACAGGATAATAAATTGTTTCACTCTGGTTTCCCTTCAAAGCGAATAAATCTCACCTTTTTTTTACTAAATTGTTTCTTCGTTGAAGGACGAAGAAAAAAATCATTAGTAGTGTAGAAACTAAGAATTTTAATTAAATTTGGAACATATTTTATGTATTTTTAGGCAGAATTTTATTATTTTGTAATTATGTAATTATTATTGTATTATTGTATATAAGTAATAATGGAATCTAAATGAAACTTTTCACAAATTTTCTTCATTATATATGTTATTCTTTGACAGCTGAAATTCGACTGTTTTGTTCAGAAGAAATATGATAGCATGAGTTCATTTGGTTTCATAAACTATACTAGTAGAGTTAAATATGTCTAAATCTATTTAATTCATAATGAAAACTCATATAGGCAAAAATCTTTAATTTTAGAAATCCAAATTTACAAACATAATTATTATAACGTTAATGATTTTAAAGGACAGATAAATGTACATTAATTCATATCAAAATCATGATTTATACTTTTAAGGAATTTCAATATCTTAATACATATTATAAATACTATTTAATAGTTTATAATATAATTATTATATCTTTTTATAATCACAAGTAAGGGCAAGTTTCTGAAATCTTCAGATACAAACTATAAATAAAACTTCATAATATTCTAATCTAATTTTTATTTTAAAGATTTAAAAAAAAATAAGATTCTTATTAAATAACATTAAAGAATATATTCAACACATAAAATTAATGGTTTATATATGTAATAATATTTTATCTTTCCTTTCTAAATTATTAATTAATCAATACACAGTCTTGGACATTTCTGTAAAAAAAAAATAGTAGAGTAATGATGAAACTAATTAACTAAGTTTTTTAAAAAATAGCACAATAAATTATAACATTAGTAAGTAGTAGGTAATAAGAAAACTAATTTCTTTATTGGCAATCGCTACATTCCGGAGCACTGCTTCCACCTGCGAAGAATTAATAAAGAAAGTGTTAAGATAAGTATCAAATTATGTTTCGTTTATGATTGTCCTTACCCTCCTCTTTCTTCTCTTCTTCCGCCTCGGGTTTCTGCTCTTGCTTGGCACCAGCATGCATGTACTCTTCGATCTTCTGCGTTCCGTAATCCCTGAGGGCGGCAGCCTTCTCCAGAGAAGACTGAACGTACGGCTCTACCATAACTTTGGCGGTGCTCATTGCAGGTTCGACCATGCTCTTGGCTCCCTGCACAGTCGTCTTGGCAGTCTCGACTACTTGTTCCATCTGGTTCTTAGCAGTCTGGAATTTGGGCTGCACTACAGCGCAAGCAGTTTGGACAGTCGGATTGCTGGCCACGTACTCCTTGGTTGAAGTGTACAGCTGCAAAAGGAGCTGAATGAAGACCGTTAATTATAAATATCCTAAATATAATGATTATTGATTGTTTTTTTTTGTTTGTTAATCAACCATGCTGTGTTAGTGGATCTGAAAAGAGGTGTTATGGAGTGTCGTCGCTGAGCTATTACCTCTCCAGGTGGAATCTTCACAGCTGGAACATTGGCTTCGACGAAATCCAAGCCGCTGCACAGCATACCATCGACCTTCTTGATGGGTCCCTCCATTTTCTGAACGACCGGAGTAGCGTACGGCATGCCGACTTCGACGGCCTTGCTGACGGTACTCTCGGCAGTGGACATCGTCCAGTTGGTGATGCTGTTGTAGTCCTTCACCTTGTCGTAGATGCTCTTTCCGGTCTGCCAGGTGCCTTCCACGAGCGGAAGTTTGGTAATCCTGTCGACGGACTCCATACGCACGCAGGCTTGTTGATTGTTTTGTTCAGACATCTGCAAAGAGAAAGGATAATTTGAAATTCAAAATCGCCAAACAAACAAAGCCGTAATGCATTCCCATTTTATTTACGGCCTCGTGCAATCGCAGATATAAACTAACAAAATAGATTAAACTAAAAGAAAGGAGAAAAAACTAGAGAGTATTCAATAAAGTATAGGATAGACTCAACAAAAACGAACTTTAAACTATCAGGACTCCAAAAAAAAAACTAAAATAAATCGATCCATTTGCATATCTAAACTGCCTCTAAAATACTAAGAAAAAAGCACCCCACAAGGATCGTAATTCAATAAAAAATATTATAGTAAAATCGTAGTAAATAACAGAAATAAAACGGCAATGTAATAAATTGCAAAATTTGTATGTAGACCGTGAATCATGAACACGAAACAGGATTTGATCCCCGCACAGGTCAAAGATCAAAGATTCATGCGACACGCGTCCGGTTCACGCGAAATTAAAAAGTGAGATTCAGTGACGTATCGAATCTCAAAAAAAAAATAATAAGTACATAAATGAAAAGAGTCTTGAAGATTATTTAAAAAAAAAAGTTGTCACTTACGTTTCGTTATAAAAATGTTTAGAGGACGAACACAAGACACGTTAAAATGCAATGAGTGGCGATGGGGGCCGTTGATGTTCATATAGTGAATTGATTTTGATCATTGAACCAAGGATGCATGGCTGATTGCGATGGTGGTGGGAGATTCGAATGGGATGATAAGGATTAAAACTGTGCTGATAAATGCCGTGAGGTCAATGTGAATATGTCGGGAAAAAATGTTTGCCTTCATCCAAAATATGAAACGCATTAAATCTCACGATGAATGCAATCAGAAACACCTTTGGATGCGATCAAATCAATTGTGTTTCGTTTTATTATACAAATAAAACAGTGATTATGATTGCACACAAAACAGAAAAGTTTTCATAGAAGCAGATACGAATGAATAGAAAACGGACTACTTTATGCGAATTAAGTTGAGATAAATAAGTTTCAAATCTTGATGTTTTGATCAGTTTACTAAATAAGCATGTATAAATGAATAGAAAACACGTAAATAAAGCAATTTTAAAAAATCGTTCAGATAAACGTAATTAATGCACAAATGGTATTGAAACTGTAATTATAACTAAGATAATATTACTATTTATTTTGTTTGGTCTTGCTTTTATATAATGAAAAATTAAAGCAATAAATACATACGTTTCGCATAACGAGTGACAATGAGAAGAGAAGTCCCGCTACATCATTTTTAAAACTTGTGTACACATATTATGTGTATTTTTGAATATGTTTCACTATACGAGTAAAAATCAGGAAATTTTGAAACGGATTAAACTCGTTAAGCCAGGTTCCACTGTACTTACAAAATAAGTAAATCGCTATCTTCTTTTATTGTTACATAAAATTATTGCGATTGATGTTGCTTTTAATAATATATAATCAAGTGCATTGAAATTATTATGTATAGAATTGAAATTGTAATCTAATCATACTATTATAATCTATTATTTACACTACGTATGAATTTGTAAACGCAATAAATAACCATTATTAATTTAATACATCAATTTCGTTTACCTTACTCTAATCTTATTTATTGGGTTACATTATTTATATTTGTACAAAGAAATAAAACATTTAAACAATATTCTTATGTAATCATATAATTGTAGTATGTATTTACGAAATACGTTATATTTATTGAGAATTTAGTATGTTTCAAAGAAAATTACTATAGTAATTAATAATAAAGGCAAATAACGGTTTAAAACGATGTGTTGGTAATTAAAAATAAATATATATTGGCGATGTTATTAAAAGAAACATAAAAATTATATATCTTATATTTAGAAGTAAAATTCGAAAGAGTAAATAAATTCAATCGGATATGTCAGTGTACAACAAATTGTAATACAATTGTTTGTAAAAGCTATATTTTTTTTTAAAGATCTTCTAATATTTCATTATTATTAAGAAATATTATGGAAAGTGTAATAAAAGCGGATCCATTAAAAAAATGTAATGTCTATTTACTAATATACTTTATTTAATATCTATATAGTTATGTGTATATAATTTACATCGACTTAGTAATTCTAATTAAACAAATAGAAGGTGCATGAATAAATATCGAATTGAAAGGATACAAAAGTCAAAGATTCAATATTACATATTCAAATAAGATGATACTTTGCGCTCAGGTAACAATAGGTCATTCAAAGTCCAAAAAATAAAAAGACGCCGTGCAATCTAATCAGATTAGATATTATCGGACAAAATAATAGAGAAATAAAAAATAAAACAGATATTTCTGTGTGTAAATGCATAAGAATAAAAAAAAATATGAGCAAATAAAACAATATCTTACAAGAGAAACAACGCCGTCGGCGATTTCTAAGATGTTGGCCATCGCGTCGACCAACCGTTAATCACAAAAAATTTGAAATTCTAAAATACACAAGGAATTTTGATGGTCTTGACAATTGTATTAATCAGAACGACATTTCAAACAACAACGAACCGGAAACCGGCGTCAATTGAGGCCCATTTCCGCTTCCCAGAGAAAGAAAATAAAAAAAAAGGAAACGCATAGGATTTCTTTTTATTTTATTTTATTTGTTTGATTTGATGAGAGTCTACCGTTTACATTTAAATCCTAATCGATTTATTTTCCTATTATTAAACATTTATCCCGTTTATATTATTTCGGTTGTAAATGAAAATTAACTTACATTTAATGTGGTTTTGTGATTTAGTCACGTACGATATTCACTTGTAACGAGTTGAAGCGTTTATGTGCAACGAGCAGCGTACACGTTTTATATATAGAAAGAGATATAGAATGGACTTGCACGATGATAATAAGCGGTTGATATGATGAGAGTAGTACGAACGAGTTGATGAGTCATTGATTGACATGCCACAATACGCGAGACTTCTGCTCAAAGTCCAAAAGAGAAGTTCGAGATCATTGTGCAACCCATACAATAAATTACTTTTACCGCGCATTTCGATACAAATGAAACGTATATACTCTATATCAAATAAAGTTTTAACATTTGTTGTTGTTGAAGTCATCGTCGTTTTAATCAAAACTGAAGCCAAAATCTTACGCTACAAACAAAGAAAATATTACAATTAAAAATTATGATGTATACCACGTTAAGATTATCAAAAAAAATCGAACTTAATTCGACTCTCAATCCTCTTTCGGAGACTCCAACGTATTTATCAATTCCGCTTGGGACATAGCATCTTCCGCGCTCGTGTTGGGAAGGTTAAGAGATTCCGTGTCAAAGCACTTCAAAAATTTCTCGAAATCCCCCGACTTTGCTACCTTGATGGAGACCAACTTATCTTCATTCTCTTTAGCTCTCGTCGTTTTCTTCGTCGTGTTGTCTGCAATTGTTGCGTCCTGCGTATCATCACTTTCCACACAAAGATGTAAATCGTCCACTTTATCCTCGTGATCGTGGTTCTCCTCCTCGACACTTTCCTTGAAATCCTCTTCAGCCAAGGTATCTTTACTCTTCGCAGATTCAACATCTTCGCTTACTTTATCCACTTCTTCTGTTGTCGCTTCATCATCATTTCCGGAATTTTTTGTTATACTCTCTTCATTTACATCATTATTAACATTATCTTTTACATTTAAAACAGCATCATTCGAATCTTCGGCCGATTCCTTTTGCTTTGTATCATCTTTTGCTTTATCTTCAATATTCGTTTCAGTTGTTGAAGCTTCCATCTCCACATTTTCAACATTCCCCTCAGTTGTTACTTCTTTCTCAACGGACTCATCTAGTACATCAGAATCTTTAGAAGTCGATGCGGTTATCGCTTCTTCCGCCGATTCTCTTAGATCAATTTCTGCAGTCTTCTTGATTTCACCAATGGAATCTTCTGCATTTATTTTATCAGAGATTTCCACGCATTTCGATTGTGTTTCTTCAATTTTATCTAAGATTTCTACACCTTTTTCTTCAGAAATATCGACAATAGTCTCACCACCCTTTGAATTTGATTCTAAATTAACGATATTTTCTTCAGCATCAATAGAAACTTTTTCAATTACTTCATCGGGACGCTTATCTTGTTTTCCTTCTTCTTTAGCATCATCAATAGACGAACATCCTACATCGCTATCTGTTACAATCAGTGTGCTATCATTATTAATGTTCAATTCAGAGTTATCCGCAGATGGTTTTTTCAATTCAGTGCCACTTTCTTCTTCAGACTTCTTTTCATCTTCTACCACTGCATTATTGTCATGATCTTTGGATGCTTCAACAGTGGATGATTGGCTTTCTTTGGTTAAAGCCAATTCATTTTCAACATTAGTTAATTCACTTGTTGCTTCGACTTCATTTTGTCCATTTGCATTATTTTCATTTTCAGACGTTTCGGTTTCATTTATTTTGTCGCTAACTGTATCACATTGAGATCCCTTACTTGCCTCTACTGGATTATGGTCATGATCTTTGGATGCTTCAACAGTGGATGATTGGTTTTCTTTGGTTAAAGCCAATTCATTTTCAACATTATTTAATTCACTTGTTGCTTCAACTTCATTTTGTCCATTTACATTATTTTCATTTTCAGACGTTTCGGTTTCATTTGCTTCGTCGCTAACTGTGTCACATTGAGATCCCTCACTTGGCTGTTCCAATATAACTGTCTCAACGGATGCATTCATATTATTTGCAGGTAGTTCATTATCATTTTCTACTGCATCATCATCATCGACGTTTTCATTATTTGGCGCCGTAATTAAAACATTATCTAAAATTACTGCGTTTTCTTCAGCGCCATCCACAGAATCACCTGACATTTTCGGTTCGTCTGTATCATTATCACGATGGGCAACGTATTTATTAACAAGATTGTTAATATCTTCATTTAAGAATCTATTCATTTCTCTTTTGGACTTGAGAAATTTCTGCTCATTGTAGGGTGTAACATTGAAGTGAATTGGAAGTTTATAACGATACAGGTGAATTTCTATTTCTAATGGCTGTACGTGTTTTAAGAAGTGCAACTGCAGATTACATTTTTCCATGTAAGCTTTGAAGCATACGTCACATTTATATTCTTTAGTTTTCTTAAATCGGATCTTTATATCGCGCTTCTTTTTCAACTGTAATATTGATTTATTTAAAACCTTAATCTTTCTCTTCATCTTTACTATTTGCTTATTGGCTATAAAAGGTATCCTGGGCTTCTGTTTTCGTGTCGTTTTCCTCCTTGTTACTTCTTTTTCTGTATTTTGAACATCTTCTTTCGTTTCATCCAGATTGACATCATCATCATCATCATCAGAATCTAATACAATAACCCTCTCAACCTCATCTTTCTCATTCTGTTCATCTTCACTTGAAAATTCTGATAAAAGATTTTTTGTTTCCAACGCAGAGCAATCTAATGAGTAACGTTTTTTTGATTTACTAACGTGATCTCTTTTGTGTAACATCTCTGCAGACATATTACCGGGAATTGGCGAATCGCACTCACTTTCATGATTGTTTTTCACAAAATCATTATCATCCTCGTCGCTGCTACTGGAATTCTGAATTTGTTCTTTCAATTCTTCTTCTTTTTTCAATCTATTTTCTAACTTTCGACGTTGTGACGCAGGCATTGGTTTCAAAAGATTCGTCTTTTTCAGTTTCTTTAGACCAGATGATGAGTTTTCTGGAAGTTCAGTTATTTTTCTCTTACTCCTAGCATTATTTACACTCTCCCCATCATTATATTTCTCTTCAAGTAGTCTCCTTTTGGAAGCTGGCATTGGCTTTTTTAACATTTTGCATAATAACATTCTTTTCACAGATGCTGGCATTGGCTTTACAATCATCTTTTTCTTTGTTTCAGAATTCTTATTTTTCTGTTTCTTATTATCTTCAGTTTCATTCTTTGTTGAAACTATTAATTCACTATTATTTTGTGTCAATGTTTCAGAAATGTTATTCTCCTGAGTTGAAGTACCTGGCTGTGCATTCTTTAGCTTTTCTTCATATTTTCTCTTCTTTGATGCTGGCATTGGCTTTTGTTTCTTTGGTGATACCTCTTCCCTTATTATCTTTTCCATTAATCTTCGCCGCTTAGAAGCAGGCATTGGTATCTTATTTAGATCATTTATCCTATTTGACTTTCTGGCATTTACAAATGTTTTGGAAGGTACAACTTTCTTCTTTTGTGAAGCAGAAGGTTTAACTTTTTTGTTAGTTGATGTCTCAGAAGCAGCAATCTCATCAACAATTAAATTTGCAGATTCAGTGTTCTGACTATTATTTAACCTCTTTGATTTTCGACTAATTATTTCAGACTTATCTTTCTTATCTTTTGAAGTAGAAGATTTAGTTTTCTCATTGCTGTATGTTTCATCAGAATCATCTGATTCATCATCAAGAAAACTTACAGACTCAGCAAAACTTACTTTCTTTTTTACGTAGCTCTTCTCATTAGAAGCTTTCATTATAGATGGTGAAAGTAGACTTTTCTCTTTCATTGACAAATCAGATTTCCGACGACGACTTTTTATAGGTGATATATTTTCTGTACTTAATTCATTGCCATGCTCCTCTTCCTCATCTGACGAAATAATAATAGCACATCTATTACTCCTAGTTGGAGTGGAATGAATAATAGGAGATATCTTTGCTGTTCTGCGAGTCCTCCGACTTGTATTTTCTGGTGTCTCAAGACCTTCCATTTTTACATAAGGTATTTGTTTTATCATTTTTGGATCTGTTAAAATATTGTTGTCATCCAAATCAATTCTTGTATTTAACCTCATCAAGTAAAGTTTTTTCTTGGTAATATTATCATGGATAAGCTTCACAAATGGAACATCTTTCAATATTTGGTTACTCAGTGGAACTGAAGACTTGTAAATAATATTTTCATCATCCAATATAGTTTCCACTGTTTTTAAGTTCTCCAGTTTATGCTTTATCAAGAAATTATTGTTCTTGCCAGATTGTTTCAGCTGAGTTTTCTAAAAAAAGAAATAAGCATATAATACTTGCAGTGAATGCAATTGTTTGCAACACATAATCATATACAACAGTGTATGTTTACACACATATAAAAATACCTTCTTCTCTTCTGCTCGCTTCTTGCAACTTCTACTTGCAGTAACCTTCATATTCAATTGGTCACATTCACTATTATATAACACAATATATATGGAATTGCTTTATTACACGCCAATTCTAATTGAAACGATAAACCGGGGAATCTTTAAGATACATTTTTATTTATATTGAATGAAGATAGTTTCCTAATACTGCGCAAAATGATATTACTGCAACGTTCTCAACAGCATAAAACTAAATTCACAAGATTCATGTACATTTGGTTGCATATAAATATAAACTTTAATATTTATCTAATATTTAATAGAAATTTATGTTCTTTTAGAATTACCTTTGTTATGTTATACCGTTATAATGATTTTTTTTTTTTTTCATGGTTAAAAATTTTAAAATATTGTAGTTTTTAAATTGAATTATAACCTATAATAACAAGAAACATCATGAATTTTAAGCATTGGAACAGACTCTGTTATAATATTTTAAAACAGAAACAATATTATAGTACAAAACCAAAAGGGAAATTAATAATAAGTTGTAAACGTTCAAAGTTTGATTTCTACAGTAACCAACAATATGATAAATTTGAAGAAATACAACTGGCTTCGAAAGGTTGGTTCAACAATGCAGCAAAGGGTGACTATTTTGTTGTCCATGGTAATAAAGAAGAATATGAAGAACCTACAGTACCTTTTAGTCATCTAGGCGTAAATTCACAATTAGCAGAGGTGCTTCACAATGAAGGAATCTACAAATTAACAGAATTTCAAAGTGATGTTATACCTGTTGTTGCTGAGGGTAAGCACACTTTATTAGCAGCAGAAACAGGTAAAAGCTTATCAAACGATATTTACTATCAAGTGTTTAATATTAATTGGTTTTTAGGCTGTGGAAAAACTCTTAGTTATTTACTACCCCTGGTTCAGAATCTTATTGGTTATCAGTGTACAGAAATGAATACACCAAGAGTTTTAATATTGGTGCCAAACAGGGAATTAGCTCATCAGATTGGAAACGTGGCAACAACATTATGTGAACCATTTGATTTAAAAACAAAAGTTGTGGTGGGAGGCAGCACCAAAAGATTAATGTTGGACCCTGAATTTGGATCCATAGATATTCTTGTGGCAACTCCAGGAGCCATCAGCAAACTATCAACAGTTGGAATTTACAAGTTGAATCAAGTGAAAACATTGGTACTGGATGAAGCTGATACTCTTATAGATGATAGTTTTCTGGACAGAATTGAAATTTTAATACGAAGGGTATCACAAGCCCAAGTTCTTCTTGTCTCTGCAACTTACCCCAAGCATCTGCCAGAGGTGATGGAACCCATAATGGATTCTCTTGTGCAAATCAAATCACGTCGACTGCACAAACCACTGCTGAATGTTACGCAACGATTTCTTAAATTGCTGAAATCGGAGAGACCGTCGCAACTGTTGCAGATTGCTAATAAAACCAAGGAACCTTTTATAGTGTTTACCAATCGCAATGAGACGTGCAATTGGCTAGCGATGTTCCTGAGGGAGAACGGTTTGAAATGTGCCAATATCAATGGAGACATGAATTACAATATTAGAATTAACCAATGGAATGATTTTGTTAGTGGAAAGGCCAATATATTATCTGCTACAGATGTTGGTTCTAGGGGATTGGATACAACGAAAGTCAAGCACGTTTTAAATTACGATTTTCCTTTGTATCCAGCCGATTATATTCATAGAGTAGGAAGGACTGGACGTTTGGGAAGCCCGGAATTGAGCAAAGTCACCAACTTTATTTCGAGCGGAATTGATGTGAAATTGGTACAAAACATAGAGGTATCATCTGCAACCGTATTTGACATTGGCATTAACATTAATTAATACGTATTTCAGATGGCAATACGGACCAATAGCGAGTTGCAGAATGTTGATGGAAACATAACGAGTATAGTGAAAAACAAGATAGCAAAACAAATGAAGGGTAGGAATATATAAGTTATGTATATAATAATGAATATATATTAAAAAATAAGAAACAATAAAATATACAACAAAAAAATACACAATTTACGTCATAACTTAAACTTAAATAACGCTGGAGCTGTTTTCTGTAGAGTCGGTATCACTATCTGAACTGTCACTACTATCATCTGAAGACTTCATTAGATTATTCATGTCCTTTTCCAATTCATCTTCACTGTCATTATCGAATTTAATATTGAAAGATTCTGGCCACACATTGATCTTCTTGAAATACTTGATGTGTTCCTTGGATAAAACCCGTACCATCTCTGCTTTAACTTTTTCACCCTCCTTGATGGGATCGACTAGCACGAAATCACCACGTTTAACCCATATATTTTTACGAAACTTGACCGGCATCGAGACCAAATAATTGTCACGACTGGGACTCTCCACTTCGTGCAAGTTGTTACCTTTGCTGCTCACGATTCTTACAATTTCTTGCTCATCTGTGGGTGGAGAAAAGTAGTTCTGGATGGATTCGTTGAAAACGTGCTTACGTTTCATTGCTCGCGACATCTCTGCAAGAAACAATAATAAACAAATTAAAAACATATTGAATAAACGGTGAACAAAGATGAACAGAAAAGTGCTGATCAATTTACCTCCGCTTTCATGAACCATTTTCGCTTTCTATTGTAAGCTTTTTCAATAGCCTCATTAATATTTAAACTTTCGCCGTTGGGGATACCGTAGCCCTTGTCTAACCCGTGTGGATTTGATGGTGTTTTACAATCATGCTTCGACTCTTTCCTCAGAACATCATCGATTTCCACCGATGAGAAGAAAGCAACGGAACTTGGCAAATCGTTTATGCCTAAGCGAACCGAACAGAATGCGCGCGTTAATAAATTGGTGACATGCATAGCCAGTGCAGCCCTGTATTTATGTTCATCTGGAACAATATACCGGATTTCATCGTGAAAACTTAAACAGAACCTAACGTCATCCTTCATAATCCATCTCATGCAGACTAACATTAGATGAAGAAAATCTACTGCTCCGCTCTGTACAACCCAATTGATTCGAGTGGGCAAAAATTTATCATCGGGCAAATATTTGGGTTCGAGCGCTCTGCTCAACCTTGAATTTAAAAACGTTGTGACTGGACTAAAATTTCCTGCAATCTCTTCCAATCTGTTGAACATGGCAGATTCAGTACCATCGACCCATTTAGGTTTAAAGAACATTTCGTGTAAATGTTTACCATGAATCTTGGCTAATTCATATGCCTGCCATTTATTATACGGTATATCAGCGAAATCGTGCAAATACTCTGGACGAATTTGATAGAATCGTTTACCCTTGGTTAAGTTAAACATTTTTACAGCTTTGCTGCGAGCTTCTCCTTCAGACATTGATGGATTGAATTGTTTTAGAAGACGTTCGGCAAAGTTTTGACCTGCACCGTAGATTCTAGCATAGTTCATAACTTTAGCATGATCACGAGATATACCAACAGCTTTGGCCGTCACGCTGTGCATATCTGTACCATCTGCTTTGCTACCACTTAAAGTCATCCAGCCTAATGGAGTGGCTCCATGCATCTTCGCGTGATTCGCGTCTCCAATTACGCTAGCAATCCACAATTCCTGCGAGTCAACATCAGCACCAACTATCTTATATCCTTTCGGTGCTTGAATCATCGCTCTTAATTCCGAACCAATCCTTTCTTTATGTGCATTGGAAGCAGTCATCCAAGTCGATTCGACTGCGCGTCTCGTCAACGTCCCGCATACAACAATTTGCGGTATAATAGATCCGTAATTCATCTCTTCATCTAACCACACGACCATCTGCTCTTTTATTCTATCTCTGTTGTTTCTCCAGTAACTTAATTTCCTAGCAATTGCAAGAACTTGTTCGGCTCCATCCGTATCTCCAGCTAATACATTTTCAGAGAATTTATTTAAGAAGTCTTTAGCTAATGGATTGCCAACGCGGTATGCAGCTCCATCCTTATGGGGAAGTTTAAAAAAGAAAACAGAATCCTCCAAAATCGTGTTACACCAAATTCCAGAACCATCATAAACACCGTCAGATTGATCTTTCTTTACTTTACTATAATATTCCTTCCTTGCCAAGTTCTCCTGAACTAATTGTCTTATATTGTTATCAAACATTTCACCTTGTTGCCCTTTAATTGTCCTCAATGGACATTTTTCCAATAATTTTCTTAGAGGAATAGTTTTGTCGTCGCAGTCCGCGTTAAATGGTACTAAAAGTCCCCACCCCAATCCCCTAATAAAATGAAGTGGAAATCCTTCCCAAGTCAAATTCAATAATTTCGGAGTAATTTGCATGGATGTACTAATTAAATGCGGACCGGGCGTCCAGTCAGGTGCGTTATGTTTCAAACAAAGCTTTTTATACCAAGATGGATAGCCAGACAGTATCTGATTCTTATATATCAAATCCTTCATATCTTCCAAATACTGAAACTTGAAATCCAGAGGATCCAAATCTTCCTCATCTTCTTTAGGAACAACTTGCCGTTTAAGCATCATTTCTTTGGCACGTTTCGCAGTTTCTTTTTTAATTTTGAATTGCTTCACTTCCCAGTCCTGATCCCACATCCAAATATCGTCTTTATATTTATCGTCGTGCAAGAGATGGCAAGCCTGATCTGCTCTTTTCGTTAATAACATTTTTCCTTCGATGTCTAAATCTTCGTACGTTTGTTGCGATTCTTCAATATACCTCAACCAATTAGAATTTACTGGCAAATACGCTGTACCCAATTCTAGCATACCAGCAAAAGTTACGGGATGCGGAAAGCGTTCCTTAAACATAGGAAATAATTCTAGTAGAACATTGTGAGTGGCAATAACGTCATTGCAACAATAGTCCATGACAGTTGAAAATTCTCTTTGAATATCGATAATCGTGCCTTCGACAAATAGGTTACGAGTTTCCTTATCAATGTATGATCCACAATATAAATTATGAACTTCATTTAAACTGTTTAGAGAACTTAATGCCTTCCAGGATACATCCTCATTGTCCTCAGATTTGGACTTAAGAACTGCTCTTTGGTAACTAGTCATTCCACTGACACACACATGCAAAGACATGGTGTCAACAAACCTGAGGCCAGTTCTTTCTAACCAATACTGCTCTTTAATTCTTGCTCTATCATATGATACATTATGACCTATAACAATTGTAAACATTTAGTGATCCAATTTTCATACATGTATTTGTATTGTCTCACCAATAACTACTTTGGGCTTCAATAAGTCATCACTGAACTTCCCTGTGGATTCCAGTGGAATTAAAGATGATTCAGTATACTGATGATCAGATTGTGGTTTGCTGCTTCCATCAATCAATTCTTGACTGACCCAGCCATACCATGCTTCCCTACTGACTGCTGTTGCCAATGTAGGCGCTTTTCCAGATTTCACACATACTTCTACATCAAAGATTATGCCATCTTCCAGTGGATAATCTACTGAAACAGGATTTTGACCTGGAACATATCTGGTCCAGCCTTGTTGAAAACTCCAAAATTTTGGTCTTTTAGGTAGTGTTCCCATTAATTTCTCCACAATTTCAAAATATGGTTTTGACTGCTGCTCCCCTATTGCCAAAAAATGTTCTTCCAAATTGTTACCTAGCATTGGAGGTAATTCCAGATCAATGTCATTAACAACTTCACCAGCTTTGCTATACATTTCATGTTTATCCAGAGTTTTTCTACAACTTTCAATTAAAGTGGCATTAAATTCAGGTTTAGAATAATTTTTAAACACTTGTTTGTATAGAGAATCTGAAATCATTTGTATATCCAAATAGTTGTATCTAGGACCAGATGTCTTCTCCACTCTGGACATCATGGGTGGTACAATTTCTCTCTTCTGTTTTATTCTCTTCAATTTATCAGTATCCGGTTGAAAGACAATTTTCTGAACATTTGGATTCCTCCAAGTTTCCCAAGTCTTGGTATGCAAATAACGTATCATATTCATCATTTAAACTACACCAAAAAATTAAGTATACATTAAATAATAGACCAGAAGAAAAAGAACAAAAAAATCTAGCTTTCAGCGAATTCACATGGTTATGTTCAGCAATTTACATGTTGACTAATTTATTTATTTACTGACAGCACGAACTAAATGATCGTTACAAATTAAATATTCTGAACTTACCTTTAATTTTGTTATAACTTCGTTTACTGGCACCAACAATCAATTATGATTGAATAAATATAAATATATTTGAAAGAAAATATGCCACCACTCGCTAATTTAATACCACAACGAAGGAAATTGACCGAAATCATTACTATGAATATATTGGTGTTACTGTCCAAGGTACCAACCAACCTTTTTGTTTTATTTAAATAAGTGAAAAGTTATAGTGTAAAATTTATAGTATTTAATGTTTAACTTATTTATACAATTAAAATGCTAAAAGAAAATAATTTTAATTTATCAAAGAACTGTAAACTTATAATATTTGTATTATTAGCTAACTTCAAGATGCAACGGTAATATATTGATGTCTATTTGTTTTGATTGTTAAAATTGTTGCTGTTGTCAATGGCAACTATAAACAAAATGGTTTATGATACATTTTATACTATAGTTTAAATACCTTTAATTTAAACAAGGTGCTGTAAAATGGGAAATGAAAAGGTAAGAACTCTCAATACTGTTCTATGGTTAATGCTATTATATCATTTACTAAACATAACATAATACTCTTAATTACAGTTGTTGTTCCGTTTGGAACAACCCCATGGGCCAGGGGACATTTACATTGCATGGCAAAAGGGCTCAGGAAACTATTTAGCTACAACTGGTATTGATGCCATGGTCAACATTTTTGATAGATATGGGCAAATTCAAGAAAGAATTAGGCTTCAAAGGTTTATTATTTAAATATGTTATGAGAGAGAGGAATTAAAGAAATTTGTTTTGTGCCATTAGTTTATGTTCAGGGTTTGCCTGGGATATGGACGGTGATGTGTTGGGAATCATTAGTCAATCACCACAGTTGATTTTATGGGATGCAAATACAAATAAAAAGCAAATAGTTGATGTTGGCTTAAGAGATCCCATGACTTGTATCCTATGGTCAAAGAATGCACCAGTATTAGCAGTTGGTACATCTAAAGGAAATGTTTCAATTTACAATCATACAACATCAAAGTAAGTTCAATTATATGGGATTATGAAATAAACTAATTTAGTTGTCACTTTGTAGGAGAATTCCTATAATTGCTAAACACACAAAGAAGATTACTTGTGGCGCTTGGAATGCTGAAAATCTTCTCGCTTTAGGTTCAGAAGACAAAACTATTTCTATAAGTAATATAGAAGGCGACACTTTGAGAGTTATTAGTTTGCGTTCTGAGCCTACAGAGGTGCAATTTTCTGAAATGAAATTGGATGAACGAGTTGGTGGAGAAAACACGGTAAGGTGGAAACCAAAAAAAAAATATTAATTAAATAAATATTGTTTATTTGTAGGTAAGCGTGATTGTTGGCAAGAGAACTTTGTATTTGTTCAATCTTCTGGATCCTGAAAATCCCATAGAGCTTGCCTTTCAGCAGCACTATGGTTCATTGACTGTTTATAAATGGTTTGGTGATGGGTATATTTTACTAGGATTTAATGCGGGATACTTCATCGCGATTTCGACGCATATTAAAGAAGTTGGACAGGAATTGTTTCAAATTCGAAATCACAAAATAAATTTAACAGACATAGCGTTATGTCAACCAATTGGCAAAGTTGCTTCAGCTGGAGACAATGTGTAAGTTTATATTAATCAAATAAAACGTTTCATAATTAATTTTCTTATCAGCGTGAAGATTCATGATATATCCAACCTGCAAGAAACGTTAAGTGTAATAACCCTGAGTCAGGAAATTGGAGTGGATAGAGTTGGATGGAGCTCAGACGGACAATTGTTGGGTGTATGTACGAGAAATGGATCATTGAATGTTTATGTCTCGCATATGCCCACTTTAACTGCGGTCTGTGGTCCAAGAATCGCTGTTTTATCAAGTTTAACCGAAGTCAGCTTATATAATTTCACAACAGATAAAGTATTATTTATAATATATATATAATTAACGATTTTACTATCTTCTTTTTTTTAGTCGAAGTTAACGCCAATACCAATATGTTTAGAAACAGAACCTCAGGTAATATCTGTCGGGCCTTATAATCTAGCTGTTGCCATGAATAATAGAGGTTGGTTTTATGACTTAACTAGACCACAACCTGGTGTTGATGATGCTCCACTGATGCTTAAAGATAGACAATACTTAGGAAACGTTACCAGTATTAAATTAAACGCCGAATATGCTTCAATATTGTTTGATGGAAAAATTCATTTACATATGGTAAATATCAATTCTTACGTATAATCACATTAATTAGTTCAAAAATAATAATATTTACAGATTGAACAACCTGTGGCTGAACACGAGGAAAGGGAAAGCATAATATTTCCTGATGATAATTCTCCAGCTGGTGTTATACAGTGCCATGCTCTTACAACTGAATTTTTAATATACGGAACAGATGTGAGAAAATTGACTTTCTATATATCCTAAACAATTTTCTAACATTTTCTGTTTACAGTTAGGTCATATTGTGTATTTCTGTGTGGAAGAATGGGCAGTATCGAGTTATTACAAGCATCCAGTTGGCATTGAAAATATTTACGTTGATCCCGCAGGAACCCGATTAATATTTTTTGATGTGAAGAGTCAAGGTTTTCTCTACAACGCTGTAAGTTCACTAGATATATTAATTTCAGCTATGTTATATAATAAAATGAATGTTTCGTATAGGTTCTAAACGAAACTTTACCTGTGCCCGAATTACCGAACAAAGTTAGTGGTGTTACATGGGATAGTAATCTAACCGATAGAAATGTGTTTATTGTTTATGACGAGAATGAAATCGATACGTATTTGTATGTTAAATTTTCAGTTCATGGTAAGAAATATTAATTTTGTTGAAATTTTCAATTACAAATTATTCTGTTTTTAGGTTCATGTGTTAAGAAGATCGGTAAAACCACATTGGCTTCAAAACAGACGCCGTTACTAATGTATGGTGGTGAAATTATGTCTGCTACTTCAGGTGGGCAATTGACACAACTCACTTTATCAACGCACGATGCAGCACCATTAACTGAAAAAGACAAAAGCGTTTTGGAGAATAATTTTGCAAAGCAACTGGATTTACAAAGATTCAATATAGCATGGAGTACATGTTTGCTTTTAAATTCTAAAGAGTATTGGCTCAAATTAGCGCAACAAGCTATAATTAATTTGGACATTGATTTAGGTAATCAGTCTATTTTTTAAAATTAGATACTAATATTTTATTTTCAGCTATTCGCGTTTATAAACAATTGGATGATGTATCAATGGTATGGTCTTTACGCGAATTGGCGGATATCGAAGATCAAAGATTGTTGGCAGGTCACATTGCTATGTACTTAAATGATTATGATCAAGCCCAGATTTGGTTTTTGAAATCAAGCGAACCATGGGCTGCTTTAGAGATGCGAAGGGATTTGCTGCAATGGGACCAAGCTTTGCAATTAGCGAAGAAGATGGCGCCCGATCAAATTCCGCAGATCTCAAGAGAATACGCGCAGCAATTGGAATTCACGTATGTAAACTAATTACGAACTAAGACGTCGTCTAATTATATCGCGTCTAGGGGCAATTACACCGAGGCGTATTTGCATTTCGAAAAGGGTCTCCAGGAGACAATAAATCAAGACCACGTGGTAATCTGTAAGGCTGGTATTGCAAGAACAGCAATTCGTTGTGGTAATTATAAACACGGTGTGCATGTTGCTTTGGAATTGCGAAACAAGCAACTGCTGAAAGAATGTGGAGAGATTTTGGAAAGCAAGAAGCAGTTGCAGGACGCGGCTACGTTATACGAACGTTCTGAAAATTATGATAAAGCTGCTGGGTGCTATATAAAATTGAAAAATTGGGTTAAGGTTGGGGAAATTTTACCCCAAGTGACATCGAATCGCGTGCATATCCAATACGCCAAAGCCAAAGAGAATGAAGGGAAGTATCAGGAAGCCGCTCAGGCCTATTATGTGGCTAAGGATTTCGATTCGGTGATTCGTCTACAATTGGAATATTTGAATAATCCAGAAATAGCGGTTGAATTAGTTCAAGAAACTAAGAGTACCGAAGGGGCAAAATTGGTTGCACGCTTTTTCCAACGCTTGAATGATTATCCCACTGCTATCAGGTTCCTAGTTTTGTCGAAATGTCATGACGAAGCTTTCGAATTAGCAAGGAAGCATTCCAAGTTGCAGTTGTATGGGGAAATATTGCTGAACAGTTTAGACCCAGATGAAATTAAGCCAGAATACTTTAACAGCTTGGCCCTATATTTTGAAAATGAGCGTAATTATTTGTATGCTGGAAAGTATTGGTATCATGCCAAAGAATATAATAAGGTTTTTAATTTTATAATTAAATCCTATTCAGTGTTAACATGAATATAATTTGCAGGCTATGAAACATTTGCTGAAAGCTTCTAAATTGAATTCTGATGAAAATGAGTCAATTAGTACAGCTATTGATGTCGTCGCTTCATCAGGAGATGAAGCTCTATCAAATCAACTAATAGAATATTTATTAGGTGAAGTGGATGGTTTACCTAAAGATCCCAAATATTTGTTCAGATTGTACATGGCGCGAAAACAATTTAAAGAAGCATCGAAATCTGCTGTAATCATCGCCGATGAGGAACAGATTAATGGGAATTATAGAAACAGCCACGATGTCCTATTTGGAATGTACCAAGAGTTGAAGCAAAATGGTATAAGAATTCCAAGAGACATGTATGCCAATTTAATGCTGCTGCATAGTTACATACTTGTCAGGTTGCATGTGAAACGAAGCGATCACATGAAAGGCGCTAGAATGCTCATTCGAGTTGCAAACAACATATCAAAGTTTCCGTCGCGTAATACAATACAATTATAGAATGTTTATTTAACCATTGAATTGTACCATTGTTTTTAGATATTGTTCCAATTTTAACGTCGGCTGTGATCGAATGTCATCGTGCTGGTTTACGACAGGCCGCTCATAAATATGCAACTTTACTAATGAAACCGGAATACCGGAAGCAAATCGATGCTAAATATTCGAAGAAAATAGAGGCTGTTGTTCGGAAACCACCGAAAACTGGAAAAGATGGAGAAAAACTTGATGATCCGTCAGAGCCTTTAACTCCGTGTCCCTATTGTGGCAATGAATTACCAGAAAGCGATATATACTGCAGCGTCTGCAAAAATAATCTACCATTTTGCATTGTAACCGTAAGTTAATATTGATTATTGTATCACGTTCAATTTAATAAAAAAAAGAGGTATTTGGTTCATAAACACTGTAAGGATGTCACAAATATGATTGAGAAATACGAAAGTCTATATGAGTAAAACGTACCAACATTTATTTTTTCAGGGTCGACATATTATTATCTCTGATCTGACCGCTTGTCCGGAATGCGATTTCCCAGCCCTATATTCAGAGTTTGTACAGTGAGTATTAGCAAGAAAAAATAACATATTCGTTTTAACTTTACATTTTCTAGATACTTGGAGGCAGAATCTAACTGTCCGATGTGTTCGGAAAAGATTGCAGGTCGAAAATTGCAAAAGGTTGATGATTTTAAGGCCTACTTGAATTTTGATTGAGAACTTCTATAATTCTCGAACTATATTTTTTGTGATCAATTAACTTCAATTCCGTCCACTTAAGTGCAATTATTTATTGATTACATAGTTTTTAGGCGATACACATTAATAATACTCAATTCATTGCTAAATGACCTAAATGGTTCAGATAATTAAAATCGTGCATTTTATTAATCCAAATGGAATTTAATAAACGCACCAAAATCTCACATAATCTAATTTTAATGCACACTTTATGTAATTGTTAAATTATATAGCATTGTTGTTACATAAATGTTGCAATAAAGTATTTTTTTGTTGTTAATAGTAAATATTCATTTCTTTTTTGAAATCAAGACCTTCGTTTTAGCATTAATTATTAACTAGTGAATTATTCCATGAATAAACATTGAATATTTAGAACAATCATATTTTGCAAATTTTCTTTTTCACTGGACATATAAATGCTACTTGGATTCCAGAAAATGTTGCGCAAATCGATGAAAATAGCTTGTGTAAATATAGATTCTTAAAAATTCATACAAACGACTCGCGTATATTCAAGAAGCTTTTCATAAAACCTATTCGAACTTTGAACTGTTTAATCGACCAATAATAATAAAACCTGATTTTCATATTTATTCATGTAGAATTATCTTAAAATTAAAAATCTATACACATATTTTATTTTTATTATTTCTTTTGATAATTTATTCATATTGACAATTAACAATTTAATCTTATCTAAGTTTTCTATGTATATATGTGCATATATTGTATTGTATTTGACTTGTAAAAGTTATTTTTTAATTAGTATTTAAATTTAATATAAAATAATCAGTACATTTGACTGGAATATATAATAAAAATAGATATTTTTATCACAAATTTCATTAAATAGAGAATGTTTTTCTGTAAATTATTGGAAAAACTACTGAAAATTCATACTAATTCAAAAGTAGATATATGAAAAGTTTATGTTATTTGGTAATTATATTAACAATTTATTCGTTTTAAATAACTAGTAAAGTAATACAAATGATTTAATCGACTGTATTATGTAATAACAATTAATCTTTGAATTATGTACTACTGTTTCTATCCTCAAATAAACATAATCCATAAATTAAATTTTAACTAATATCGTTAATGGAATAAGTAATAAATATTCATAACAAATAATAATCTTTTTTTAGTGAGTTAAGTTACATAAATATATAGATAACAATTTAAATGTAAAGAAATTATATATTTTGCGATAATTACGTAAATCAAATTTGTTTTTAAGTAAACACTTTCTCAATAATATTAGAATTATATAAAAATTAAGGATATTTTATCTGCACTTAAAGTAACATATAGATAAATGTTGAAATAAATGTACTAATCATTATTTAATGGCTAGTAAACATGTGCAGGATCTAAACTTTGTTTTCTCGCATACTATATGTTTATTAATTTTCATTTAATATAGAAAAATATCAAATGATTTATGTACTAAGATGTTGTCGTGACCTTAATAACATTTACTGAAATTTTCACTACAATATTTCTCGCCTTAGTTTACTATAATAAAGGAAATTGACCTTTCATAACAGATTTTCGGAGAAAGTCCGCGCACAAGGTTTTTGCTCTCAACAATGGATGCAACGGATTTTACTATTAAAACCAAAACAGTTAAAGATTTAAAGGTCTCACTTTATATTCGTAAGGGACCAATTGGAAGATAATAATTCGGGAAAAGGAAGATAGTTTTGATGTTCTAAGATGTTCTTAAAAAAATGGTAATGACACTTTTATGGTATTGGTCGTAAATAATAAGAGACTACAATCTAAATATTGCATACAAATAGTGTCATTTATGTACGAGTGACAGTTTAAACACTCTAAATATTATTTTATATGTGTGCCATTTAAAAATAGTAAACAATAATTTAAAATAGACACAAAATCAGGCGTATTTGAATGAATTAAAATGTTTTATTTTATTTGTGCGTATAAATAACTTTGCTATTTATAGCTGTGTTTATGTGAATTTGCTCCTGTATGGGGCATAAATATATTCATAGAAGAAAAGTAATCAATGTTTATGAATAAAAGAAACATTCAGATATTATTGAAGGAAGTTTTTAATGTTTTAAAAATAGCTTGATCATATGTTATTGTAATTACATATAATGCGTGTGTTGCGTAAGAGAATGAATGTGCTGATTCTGTGTTGGTTTAACATAAATGTGAGAGACGCTCTCTCCGAATGTTTTGTAAACAATGTTTCTATGTAAAATTAAAAAAAAAAACAGTGGAAGAGAAACGGGGGTGTCCAGAAATGTCTCCACATAACACGGATGACGTTTCGAGGTTGAGAAGTGTCTTCGAAGATTGCCGGTCGTGCGCACGCGCAATGCAATTGTTTAGTGTCGCGACGGGAAGCCGCTAGTGTGCAATTGGATATTCGGCATTCGGAATCTCAATCATTTGAGGTTCTGCCAGAGTGAAGTTACCTATTCCCCGCAGGGTGCTGCCAATTCGTGTGAAGATCTGCATGTAGTAACATACATACAGCAACAATAATTCTATCGACAACCAACGAGCAGCAGTTTTATTGGTTAGGAAGTCCGCAGAGGAGAGGACAGGTAGTGTGAAGCAGAGGATTTCGCTAGATTAGAGTGTGGACGCAGCAAGATGGCCGATGTTAATAACAATAACAAAGCGGAGGAGGCCGGGCCCGAGCCGCAATCCTTGTTCGATGAACTCACAAATCCATTGAATCTAACGCTCATCCTGCTGATCGTTTTCCTGATGTACAAGATCCTGAAGAGCCGCCAGCCGGTGCACACGGCGTCGCCGCCGGAGCCGCAGCTGCCGAAATTGCGTAGGGATTTCACCGTGGAGGAGCTGAAGAAGTACGACGGCACCCAGGAGGATGGTCGAGTACTTGTCGCAGTCAACGGAAGTGTTTACGACATGACCAAAGGGAAACGCTTCTACGGTCCTGGTATGTATATATGTTGATGATGCCCAGTGCATACGTAACGTGATGATGATACGATGCGTGTATGTCTATGTATATGAATGCAAGTCACCAACACATAATCTCTTTCGTTAATCGAATTATTTTATTAAATGCTCTTCGCACGTGATTAGGTGGACCTTATGCCGCATTCGGTGGTAAAGACGCATCCAGAGGCCTAGCCACATTCAACGTGTCCGCCTCCACCGAGGGCTACGATGACCTTAGCGACCTGAATACTGAACAAATGGATTCAATCAGAGAATGGGAGGCGCAGTTCAAAGGTAACACACACATAAACTACTTATTTATGCATATTTGTTAATTTTGCAGTGACATTGCATTATGCAAAAGCGAATAGTCATTTATCACTACTTTGTTAAAAAAATATGCCTCCCTTATCTGTATTTGAAATTCACGCAATTTGGTAAACAATTCGAGAATTATTCCTTAGACCTGACACTCTTATCAACACTGACCCACTCCAATATCCTGCAAAAGAAAGTGCTATTCTGCATAAAATCCATAACACGTCGTAGTTCATGCAAATAACGATAACACGTTATTCCTTCATTATTTTGTTTGCAGCGATGAGGCGTTCAATTATTTATAATTAGTATGTTCGTGATAATGTAGAAATCTATATGTCGCATTCCGATAAATGCAGCTTCTGTCAAGTAATTAACATTAGACTCGAATCAATAACTAATATTCGAAAGCGTTATACATTTCACTTTAGTTTCTCCGTTTTCATTTCTCACAACTATCTAACCAATCGCATTGATTGATGAATTTCGTGCGATAAGCCAACCGTAACCTACAGATAACCGCTTTCAGTGATAAGTAAAGCTAACAAATCTCTGTAAGATTATAAAATCTGTCTCGTCCCTGTTATACAGTGATTTAGTGTATTTTAAAAATACGCATTAACGTTATTGTAGCCATAGAATATTTGTTAATGTTAATTGTTAGTTAAATGCAATAGCAGTGCAAAAAAGTCATGCATATTATTATGTCTCTTTTATTCTATATATTTATATTTAACCTTCAATTTGATGTTTCGTGTACATGTAACATTTACGTTTTTCCTTACTTTTGCATCTACATACACGTATTTCGGAGCAAGAACCGTAGTAATTAGAATCCATCCGTCCGTGAATGAAATGAATTACATTTCCTTTGTCTTACGCAACATCACACAAAAAGTCATGAATACGTGCGGTTCTTTTGTAGCAAAGTCACTTGAATATGTCTGGAATTCTTACAATGTTATTTTTTCAAGGGCCAAGGTCACGCGTTTTGTTTCAATGGTATATTTTTCGTATTAACATAATCTAATTTCCTAACGGTCAAATTATCAACTTTTTTTCACGCTATATTTATTATAATTTCAACAGATAATGCGTATTTTAATCAAATTTTTAAGGTAGATAAAATGATCTGAAACTTTTTGGTTGTTATTCCTATCTTCATAACTTTATTTGATGTATTTAGAACGATAATAGAATTCTTGATAATTTCAGTTTTTCAATATATGATTCTGTAGATTAATTACTTGTTAAATTTTTATACTAGCAAATCTTCATGAAATAGATATTTTCAATTAAATGAAATATTTAAATTGATTTTTTTTTGTGTATATTAGAAAAAATATATCGCAATTCTTTAGATATAAAGTAACAAGTATAATTATTCTTTTAATTTAGCACACTTGTAATATACAGAAGCGTATTTTTTAGTTGTTAAATGCAAAAAGCAAATGTTATTTTGATTGTATACTAAAATTGCTGCAACGACATGAAACTTAAATCGGCACTCCCATTTCTAAGTTATGAAAAATCTGACTTACACTTGTCAAATATTGAAGACATGCTACTGCTTTGTAGTAGTTATTGTTTTATATCGATTAGTTCGTAGGTTATTAAGTGCCAATCTTTCACAAGTAAATGTGTATAGTATTCAAATTAGTATCAGCAAATATTTAAAGTACTATACTATTAGCGAACATCATCTTTCCTGTTTTTACTTCCCACGCCATAGGAAATGGCAAAAGAGGGCAGTTTCTAATTGCATGTTTTGAATTTGTCTAGATATTAGTTAATTATAATGTACAATTGCAGCTGTTCAAGGCTGTTTAATTAAAAAATTAAGACGCAGTCGACGAGACAGAAATGTAGATTTTATTTTCGCGAAGTGACGTTTGCGGGTCCAACCTTGGCCGCGGAAATCTTAAAGTCAGATGCGAAGTTGAGCTAAGAGTCGAAAGGTTAAACATCTCTAATTGGAATAAAAATAATTCGTTTACATTCAAATACTTGTACTGTGCTATTTGGTTTTTGCTATAAACATGTATAAACCTAGTGCAAATAACGCAAACATTAATTTAATGTCTGCAATAACAACGTTCGACAAGTGATTACTTTGAAACTTTATTGGGTTAATGACTGACACACTGCTTTCAAAAGAGATATCGACCCAGGTTTACATGCCATATTCAATTGTACAGTTATGTATTTCTACCAAACAAATTACGTTCATATTAAGTGATTCGGATGTAACATTATTACAACTTTATAATTACTTAACCGTTAATGAGAAAAACTCATATATAATGGTTCAACATGAGCTGCACTTCATCCAATTTAATATTTAACTATTTAAAGCAATAAAAAAGTAAACTATATATGTATAATGTTATTCATTCTATATTTAATATGTAAAAAAATAAGTTTTTTTCAAGTCCAAAAATATCGGTAGAAAATACTCAGTCAAGTATTCAAAATGTTAGGGCATTTACTGTTTTTATTTCAGTGTTTCTATGACAATGAATGTTTTGAGTAGTCTATAAATAAATACTCAATATTCCGATACTTAACGGAAACGAAACAATAAGCAAAACGACGTTACTTGTGTAGATCAGAGAAACGTTAAAATAAAAATATCAACAAGGCTATAATTGTATACTTCCTAATGCATGAAAACTAAGCTTGCTGTTTGATTTTTTTTAACTAATTATTTACAATTTAAACTCTGACTAAAAAAATGATACAAATATGATAATTATCGATTGATATTCTTTTAAACATGCATTTCTTTATACAAGTAAAATTATTTAATTAGATAAAGGTAAAGCATTATCATTATAATGGCCGTTTCTCACGAAGCTTTTGTCTAATTAACAACTCATTAAAACTTACGACTTGCTACTTTTTTTGGGTTTGGCAATGTAAATATATTTATTATAACATACATAGTTCTGTCTGACATGTAATTTCCTATGTGCTATTTTTGGATTGTGATTTAAAAAATAATAACAACGAAAATAATGTAAATAATGTAAATACACTAAATGTATGGCCAACATGTAGTTCGTTTCGTTTTATTACATTTCATGTTTATAAAAGCCCAAATGTAAATACATGTACCAATTCATATTTAGAATCTTATTTTTCTGGACAAAAAACATAGTAGTGTTTCACGGGATTAAAAATGTTAAGTTTAGTGGTTCGTAAGGTCAAAAAGTTTGCCGTCTAAATGGTAAATGTGTTAATTGTTTGATAATTGATTAATATTATATGAAAGACGGAAGGATGTGGTTAACGTAATCGTTTTTTTCGAATAAAAACAATGCATTTCAAAAGTTGAGCAATTGATGGTTGACCCGTATCTTTTGCCATTTGGGATCTAATGGAATGGCATTTCGCTGCAACAGTCTATTTATTAGCGTAACAAGCCTTATTACTGCATACGTACACTCCCCACGAGGGTTCGATGCGGTCAACAACCAGAGGGAAACCTTGCAAACATATTTATTTTAAAACGAGGACTTCTTTCTATTCAGCGTTCTGAATGCGAGATTACGTAACTATTAATAAATAATGTTCCATGTTTATGATGAAAAAGCAACTTAAATTTCATTTTATTTACATTTATTTCCATATACATTAAATTCAATTTCGGCGGTGATGTAATAGAAGTACTTTTCACTTTAAGTATTCTCTATATCAGCGTTTCTGAACCTTTTTGAAAAGCGATCCAACATATTTTTTTCTAGTTATTTCAACAGTTCCTCGTTTTGACACAAGGTGGCAACTGTAATGGTTGAGAAACGCTGCTCTATATTACGTTCAAAAAGATATTTTATTGTGTACATTTAATTTACAAAAATGTGTTCTTAATTTATGAATATTTATTAATATACATCGAAAATTAACGATAAAATGATCAAAAAAATACTAAGCAGTTGTGAATTTAACCAATAAACCACTACAAAAAACATGCTTTCAGTATTTTACATCTTCTTAAATCGACAAGACCGTACACTTAATTATGTATTTCCACGAAACGAAGTAAATTCTTCAGTCCTAGAGAAGCATTGCTGCGATCTACATTAAACGTAATTATGCATTTTCTTCAACATTCTGAGACAATGCATTTTGATGTTTATCTATTTATATACTTTCTCAACCACTTTCCCATACGTTTTTAAAAATATTATTCTTGTTGAGAAATACGTGTTTTCGTTATTTACGTTTTTGTTAGTTCAATTTGTTGAACTTTCTAAATATATCTGGAATATATAACTAACTGAATAGATTAATTTCGTTGGGGTTTGCGCCGTTCTGGATTATTAATTTTTAAAAGAATAATGCCGTTATAGAACCGGCGTTCTTCGGTAACGAATTACTGCACTCTGATAATGTAATGTACACCCAATTATATAATGCAATTAGTTTTTTTTTGTAGGCTGTTTATATTGAATTGATTTAGGTAATTGTAGCATTAAATATTGCATCATCTTCATTTTAACGAGAGAGGTTTTTACATAATAATTACATTGCTGTCATTGTTATTACAATATTTGATTTCTTTTGAATAAGTAAATTTGGTCTCATCTAACTTAGCTGATTTCAAGAATTTTCACTACAATGTATACATTAAAATGTTGTTATTGATCTGTATGAGACTCTTCAAAATTTAAAATACTAAGGTTTAGCACATATTTTTCAATATAAGCTGAAGCTTTATATCGTTCCCACAAAGTTATTAATGAATTCATTTATTTGAGCTTCAAGAAAAGCATATAGGTCAGATTATGTTTCCTGTTTTACAATTGAGGGAAAAATCTGAGAGTATTGAAAATGTACTTATGTTTTAATCATTTTTTGACCTGGATGTGTTCAATATAAATGTCATTAAATTTAATGTAAACTTTTTAAAATATCTTTTTTTGCAAAATGAGAACATTCAAAACTGAATTTAGCTTATGAATAATTGTTTCAGACACTAATTTAATCCATGTGTTTATTAACTGTTATCAGTATGATATACTAATGTATTGATTTTTTCTTTCTTTTTTAGAAAAGTACGATCTGGTTGGTCGCCTATTGAAGCCCGGTGAGCAGGCCACAAATTATTCCGATGAAGAGGACGAGGCGAACACGAGTGTCGATAAGTCGAAGGACGATTAGAGAAATAAATACATTGGATTTCGAAAAAAATATATAAATAAAAAGAATTAATAACGTAATAACCGGAAAAATGAAGATGAAAAAAAAAATGGAAGAAGATACAAACGGAATATGGACTCCATTCTAAAAAAAAATATATATAATTTTGTTTTTTATTACATCCATATAAAAAAAATAAGAAGTCTGAATCTTGTACTATATATTTTTTTATCTGATATATTATATAAATATTTTATTTAGTTTTAAATATCTTTGCCGCCGACGACGAGGAAGAAAGACTTTCTCTTCACCGTCGGCGACGGCTTGCATTGTTACTTAGAACGTAAACGTATTTTCGCGAAGGATGGAGGATAGTGGCAATGGGGGATGTCTTATTATTTAATAGTTTGTTGTTGTTTTTTTTTTTAATTCACTGTGAAGGGTTTATAAGTATATAAGTTGTTTGTTTCCTTGTTCGAAAAAAAAAAGAAAGAAACTATGTTCCTCCTCCTGCAACTTTCTGTTTCCGTTTTCAAAGTTACTCCTTTATAAAAATCGAAGAAAAAAAATATAATTGGTAGGCAGCAGTTATGTTAAAGCTCCCGAGCATCGCATTTAATAATATAATAATGATTGTGTGTTACTTTGTTAATTTTTTTTAATAAAATTGTGATAACATGAATGTAATTAAACAAAAAAAAATACAGAGAAGATGGGAATATTTGTTCGAGGAAAGGACACAATATGGATTGCTTGCTTTTTGGAAGTATTTTTTTAATGATATGTAATATGTATATATATATAAAAATACAAACAAACACGATTACCAGTATATATGTGGGCTATTGTAGCTTAACGAGTTTTGTAACTATCATTTACTTAAAACTATTAATGAATGTGCAGAAGCAGTCCATCCCTCCAACAATTATTAATATTAATAATAAAGCAGAGAAACGACTTAAAACCATGAAGCAAGATTTTGGAGTCTGTTTTTTTTTGTTGTTTTCGCTTGAAAACTGCTTGAAGTTTTTGAATAAATGGAACTTGTTGTTTTGTTTTTCTTTTACGTTGTTTCTTGAACGATTTTTGTTAATGAACTGCGGATTACATTGATCCGCAAATGATCCATAACTATTTTTTTTTCGTGTGCAATCTTCTGTTCTCGATGTTATTTATATTTAAATATTTTATCATCTTGTAACCCCCTCCCCCGTACTTCTTAATGAACACAACAACATTTCAACATTTTATTATTATTAAAGTTTAGTTGATCTAAACACTGTTTTTTTTTTTCCAAATTACAAAACGACACCCAACTTTCTAAGCGAGCATCCATAGATTAATGATAATCGAACGAGTTAGGTTGAGAGTTCGACGCCATCATGACATTTTACCAAAAATCTAGTAGGTAAAGATCATCAGTTATGTAATTGTTAACGTGGAATAGACTTTTTCAAGTTATTTTATATAAACTGCGATTGACCTATAATATTCCTATAATTAGAATTTAGTATACATTGAATAATTTTCGGAATTGGTAACAATTGTAGTATTGAGCAAGTTGAATGACATATGGCAGCACCGACGTTTGTTTTCTATTATTATTTTCTTCGAAATTAGCGTACACATGCCTCCACAACTTTCGTTATCGTCGAAAATAAATATTTTCAATTCAGCGTGTGTACGATCCGAGTTGCATTTCAGCCATGCGAATAGATAATGTAAGATAGCATCTATAGATAACCGGGAGGACCCAAAACTATTACGTTTCATTGTGGAAATACGCATATTTTCTCCTTTATCCGCAAGATTAGGAGCTGCTCCATCAGATCAATGCGTCGTTGGGTACACACCTAGTAGTGCGGTGGAGCAAAAAAAATGCTATGGTGTTAGTGACCCTGACAGGAGGTGGATAGGTATCAAACATCAACATTACAGACGGCAATATTCCCGTATGTTTTGCATGCTCGATTCAGTGCGGAGATCTTAGGCAGCCAGGTTTTTTTTTGTGTTTTTTTTTTTTTTTGGAGGGAATCCCATCTCTTTGGACTGTCAAAATCGACCGCCAAAGTTTGAAAGGCTCACCGAAACAACAACACAACCATTGCCGGTTCGAATGCATCCCGAAAACCATTTCGATTTTGTACACACACACACACACGTAGCGTTCGTTCGTTGTCTACGCACTCCTCGGTCGATGCGCCGTTGCCACGTCGACGCGATTACAATCCGTACCGAAATTATGATACCTATTGACAACCTACAGACGACGCTACTTTATCCACTGGAATTGTATTGTATATGGCACTTCAGAATTCCAGTAGCAATGCAAATAAGGATCGGTATTTGCATTGATACTGCCACTGCTGTAGTGGTGGATGTTACATGACTAGAATTGACAGTCAGCAGTAATTAAGCTCTACCAGTGCTAATCAATAAAAGTAATGGAACTGCTGCTCTAGATATTAATACTTTGATTGACTGATATTCTTAGGCACTTAATACTCCTTGAATCAATAGTAAATTAGCAACAAAAAAGAAACGTGACTTGTTAGTAACAATACCCATCAAGACACCAAGAAATTTTTTCAAGATTTACTACTTTGAAGTATATATATTTTAATACAACACAAATATACAATTCGTAGAATTAAAAAAATATTTACTCATATTTATGTTGAAATACTAAGAAACAAAATAAACACTCACAACTAAGTGAGATATGAAGAAAAGTATAAAAATCTATTTGCAATGATCATTAAACACCTTCAATTATAATACTCAAATTGAATAAAACTAATTTTACAATAATTTTGCTGAAAAAAAATAAATGTAACTTTGAATATTGTTGGTAACAAAAGTTCTTAAATTGTAAGAAACAGTAAGAAAATCTCCTTAAAAAAAACAATAGAATACCTATTTGTTTGATAACAACTAAAAGAATTATATAATATTAGTTTTTCGATAAGATAATTCAATTCACACATACAACAATACTGAAAGAACTTAAGTGTCTTAATAAAAACTGGAAGGAACAGCTAATAACAAATAAACAATAAGTATATATACACAATATATCTGTATAACTACTAATTATTTCCATAAGATAAATGAATTAAGAAATATTTAACACGTTGATATCAATGTTAATAGATCGTGTCTAAATATATACATAAAAATACTAGTTGGTTAAATCTTTATATAAATTAAATCTATTAATTTGCAATCATCATTAAAAACCTTCAATTATAAAATTCAATTTGATTATTCACTTTTTATTATTTATAATAATATTTTTGCTGAAAACTAAATAAATGTAACTTTTAATATATTTCTAGTTAGTAACGAAAGTTCCTAAATTTAATAAACAGTAATGAAATCTCTTTAAAAATGCAACAGAAAACGTATTTGTTTGATAACAACTATAAGAATTATATAATATTAGTTTTTTCGATAAGATAATTCAATTCACACATAAAATATACATAACTAATATGTACATACAATAATATTCACAGAGAGCTAAAAGAACTTAAGTGTCTCAATAAAAACTGGAAGGAATAGCTAAAAATAAGTATATGTACACAATATATCTATATAACTACTACTTATTTCCATAAGATAACTCAATTAAGAAACATTTAACACGTTGATATCAATGTTAATAGATCATTTCTAAATATAAATAATAATATTTATTGTAATAGTTACATAAAAAGTAAACATTTCCATTCAATCGAAATAATAAAATAATTAAAGCTGCAAAGGTCTATTGACCAACCATAGCTATTTCTGTGATATAAATAATGAAGAAAAATCAATATTATTTTTTAAAAAATGTAGTATATATTTATCAATTAGGTCGAGAAGCTAAGGCTATAACATTTATTTAATAATTATATGACTTTTCTATATGTTAATTTAAGTGACAATCATTTAATTTTTGTCAAAGTTAATAGTCAAATATATAAATAAAAACTACGTAATTAAGATTTCAGCTAATGGAAGAAAATTTACATTGAGTTAAGTTAAAGTTTGACAAGAATGTCCAACAATAAACAGTAAAATTATATATTGTTGTAATCACTTCATGTCAGTGGTAAAAATCAATAGTAAATAATTAATATAAATGTTATAAATCTTAATTTATAGTACGCTTTTAATCGAAAACTTATAAACATTTGCATTGAACAAACTAGTATTTTTAACTATAATTTATTTAAAATTATTTTGCGTAGTCGTATTATTTCCGTCCTTATAAAGCGTTATAGCGCACTTAACTGTGTTAGGCGCAGTTTGTTTCTTGAATGCGAACTATAATTAATTTCATTTTATTGATAAATTGTGCAATCATTTATTTATTTACCTTAATTTCTAATTTTCAAAGTGTTTGTTTAATCATTTCTTACAACAAAATTATTTTTTTATACAATTTCATTTGTGAATAACGATCACCAATTAAAGAGAGATGTGTTGTTTAACTTTCACAATGTTACCAACATTATTAACAAATATGCAGAAGTGCTATCGACCTCCGTGTCTCTGCTCATCTATTTCATTTTCTTATCATTTTTTTTCTTCTATTTTTGTACATTAATTTACAAGGTGTTAAATTTTTCAATACACTCACTTATTGACTGTGAAATGAAGTTCTTCATTGCGTTCAGATTGTTCGAGCAAGGTGCTAAAACCAAAAACATATAAACTGTTACAGATTTTAAAACGCGTTCATATTTCTCTCACGCATTCTTTGAGCAACAAAATAAAATGAAATTTGCAAACGACTAGAATACGGCTTAGACTTTAATTATGACTTATTGTAATGCATAGCAGAACAATGATAGATAATAATATACAATTGAAATAGTTAAATGATCAAATCTATTTATGAAAACAAATAGGTGTTTCGCGAACGCAAGATAATAACAATTCTCAACAACAGTTTGCTAAATTCATTTACTGCATATTGTAGAATACATACATCTTGAATAGACAGCACTGAGACGTTATAAATATTTGCAAATTGCAAGGAAAAATAACAAAAATGAAAGATGAAAATAGGTATACAAAAAAAAAATGGTTATAAATTTTTTTTATGGTTTCTTGGCAAATTTACACAGTTAAATTTTGAGAAAGTGTTGTGCAGATGCAAGTGCTACTTTATTCACTTTTTTTTTCTAAGAAAACGGAAGAAAGTATTTCCTTGTAAACCCTAGCTACCTGATTTTCAAGAAAGGTAACGAAACGCATCTGCATTACACTAAACTGTATAGCAATTGATTCGTTGAAAACTCAAAGAATTCCCTGTAGCAAAGCATTGCAAAAAAAATTGTTTATAAATTTGTTTTCTTTTTAATTTATTCAACTATTTACATTAAATAGAGTATTTTGTTAATCTTTGCTTTCTTTAAAATATTGTTTTTTTGTATACTTTGCAAAAAAAATTATTAACCCCTTCAATATTATTTGGTTTGACATGAACTGACTTATAAAAATCACAATAATCGAATATCGTCTTCGACTTTTCACCGCTTAACGTAAGTCTTGAATGGCAAAGGGCAGCAGGTATTAATTCAAAAGAAAAGATCTGTTATCTTCATTTGGTACTGTAAACCGGTTAACCTTAAAATGTTACTTTCCGATAATATAGTTTAACAGTTTGCTTACATTTAATTGGTGCTAATAACTGTATCATGGGACACCTTTCAAAATGATGAAACATTGATATATTTCTCGCAGATAAAAGTGCACATACAGATTCAGTAAGCATCTGCTGTCGAATTTACATTTAACCTCTAATCTCTTACGTAACATGCATAGCCAACTATTCCCATTTATTGGCTTGAAAAAAGCTCAATATTTCTATGGTAATTCAATAACAAACCTCATGCAGCCAATTAGCAGCAAAAACTCACAATTAGACCATAATATTAATAAATAATAACGTTGTCTATATTTCATATAGAATTCTAAACATATTAGTTTATTAACTTGTTTCTTCCTACGAAATATAAGTAGTTTATTTGAAACACATGAAATCTATAGAATTAAAATATTTTATATTATAATAATTAAAAGTATTTAGTTAAATAATATTGGTCAGCTGATTGTAACTTTAATATTTGTTATACAGTTAGGTGTAATAAGTGAAATTTCATTGTTATTAAAAGTTATATTAATTAAACAACAAATGCAACAACTCGTGTGCTAATTAATATTACTGTCTGTTTTCTTCTATTAAGCCGGTTAACCTCAAAATTACTTTCATGTAATAACATTTAATTTCAGCAGTTTTCAATCTGAAATATTTAAATTACCGGAAAGAACTCTATGGATTAAAATTATATACCGTACTTTTAAGCAACTTGTACAGGTAATACGCAAATTCATTCGCTTACATCGTTTATGATAATATTGTAAATAAATAATTTATAATTATTACTCAAGCGCAATTGTTTTTAATTATTGTAATTATAAATTTGTATTTATGTTTAGTTTTTATGTATGTATGTAACTGTTGCAATAAACGTTATTATTATTATACAAGAAGAAATAAACAATAGTAAAGTTTGTATATCTTTATGTTTCATTCTACATAATAAAATTTGTATGTAACATATGAAATCAAGTGTATAATGTTGAAGAGTTGTTGAATGTTGCCGTTTTTTAATTACATAAAGTTGGTTAATTAATTAAATTTTATGTTGAATGTATGAGATTATAAAAAAATGTATTAAATGTTAAACTATTACATAAGATTATTATAAACTTTATATATTTATCGTGTTTTCAATAAAGTTGGTGAAAATTTCTTTATTTTTTATTATTAATATTATTTATTAGCCCTTTGTAGCAGTTGAATTTTTAATTTATTTTACTTAATTCTATGAATAATATATAGTTAATAAAGTAAAGTGGTAAAGTGAAATAAAATAGTTTTTAAAGTTTTTATTTTAATAATGATGTTATTGTTCTTAGCGTGTATCAACTATTTTTACTGTCAATTGATAGTTCTTTTTCTTTAAGCCGGTTAACCTTAAAATTGTCTGCGCTAGGTGCTCTTTATGTGCAGTAGTATTAAAGATAAATTAAGTGCAAATCGTTCTGGGAAGTATTACGGTTGTTTTGAAATATACTTTTTGATTTATAGAGAATGTATGAATATGTTGTGTGTGATGGTCGTAAGTGGTAAAGTGATGTTGGTTGATGTCTGGCAGATTTGCATTGTGTTGTTGTTGATGACATGTTGGCTGCAATAAGTCGTTGGACATGGGTTGTTTGTGCAAGGTTCGACAACGTCGGAAATTGAGGTAAGCGTCCAAGGTCGGGGTGATCGTGCGATTTCGGCAGTCCCGAAGTCGTGACGTCACCGGTGACGACGGACGCTGCGTCACATCGTGCCTTCCGGATGTGCGGCGGGGCCAATGAGCGTGCGCGCTTTGGTCACGTGCGCGGCGCACGGCCAATCGGGCGGCGGCTTCGGTCGCCTAATAGACAGACCGATTCTGACAAGCGTAGAAAAAGTCGTCGTCGGGTTGCCCCATCAAGCTGCCGCCATTTTGCCCAGTGCCGAGAGGATTGCGTCGAGAGGATTCCAAATCGCGGCGACGCGACCTCAGATTTGCGGATCGAGCCCAGGACGAAAAAGGGATATTTTTGGGTTTCGGTGCAGGACGTGCGGCCGCGGAACGGTTGAACGAGAAGAAGTTGAGCGACGAAGGATCGGCCGCGGAGGATTGCGTGTGTTTTTTGTTTTTTTTTTGCCTCGATATTATTTCTCTCGTTCACTTCTTGCTCGTCGTCGCCGTCGGTTGGTCGGGATCATTGGTGTTAGTTCGGGTAGTGATGTCGAGAGGGAAGTGTAGTCTGGCGAGCGTTCGACTTGGACTGGTCTGTCCGTACACTAATTATGGCCGATGGTTGATTTGTTTATTTTAAAATGATGAATTATGTGCCTTTTCGCGACGCTTGGCCTGTGCCGAGCTAGGACCCAGTGTGCGTCGACAGTTTGATGGAATCTCCGCTGATCATGTGTTTCTCTCCGATGCGAGACTTCTAAATAAACCCGTGTTTTAACATACATCTCTACACATACATACACTACTACTGCACTCACTCACTCTCTCACATAGAGCGACGACGAACGACATTCGCATTACTCTCTTTTTTAACACACTGACTACGGCTTAATATTATTATACCCAACATAATATTTTCCGTTCATTTGTTTTGCTCGTCTTCTCTTCCGGATTCTCGGCTCGCTTTATCACACAGCCAATCCGTACGCAAACGTGTTTTGTTTTTACTATGGCCGATCATCTTGTTGATGGACCGCCGAATGCCAAAAGGCAGAAACTGGACGCGTTCCAGGGCCAATCGGACTCTTCCGGTAAGTGTAAAATCTCTTTACTATCTCTCAAATATACCATACCATATACTACATCCGTACATACCCCATATACCTAAGTCCGTATCTTTTAATCAGTTACGGAACTCACGATACTCACTCATATACAATTCGCACACCATCTATCCATCCATCCAATCTACCTGTCTACCAATCTACTCATTCATGTTCCGCATCTCCCCAGCAACATTCGTTATCATCATGGACACCATCACCATAACCCATTTCTACGTATTTGCATTCTCAAGATCTGTTGTCTCTGAGCTGCAGACTCAGTAGTGTGGTTCTATGTTTGTTTTTCCGCACGGCATGTTCGCCTCGCTTTCGTTGTAACTGGTGTGTGTGTGTGTATATCTACTATGTTTGTTGTGCGCGCGAGAGAAGGCGTTACTCTCTCCTCAATACATCTATAGCAAGGATGCAATGAACATGACTTTGACATGTTGCTAAACATTATCATACACAAATATTAAACAGCTGTTTACTACCACCACTCGAGCTCATCCTCCCTCTATCCCTAGAACTCATTCCATCTCACACCTTTACTCCGAAATTCACACATGCTTCTCATTCATTGCAACACGAATTCACATACATTCTTCATCTATTCCATTTCCACCAAGCCACAAACATCCATTGACACTTGCTGAAAAGCCGAAATCATTATATCATTCACATAAAATCACAACTGATTTCTCGAACCTGTCAATTGATATTTCATTTATCTAAGAATAAAAAATAGCATTCAGACTGGAAGTTACATACAGCCATTTCGCATACTAATTAAAAACTAAAATATATAATAATATAAGCAAATTGTGTCTTGGGTTGAAGGTTACCACTTGTGCGAAGACAATTCTACCAAAATTACTTTAATTAATACCTGAATACATTAACAATGTTCAATGTTAATACATTCATTTCTCTTTTCAAATGGTTTAATTCTTTAAACATAAAACAAATGTACAGTTAAAATAATTTTTTAATTAACCTACACCTACTTTTATCGATGGTATGTTATAATTGCAAACTAATGACAACATATAAACAGGAAATTTAATGGAAGATAACTTTAAAAATTTGAAAGCAAATTAAATGATTATTTCATCAATTTATTATGATATATCCATGAAGATTATTTAAAGAAAATACTATATAGTCATTGTTACTGCAACAAGAATAGTACATACATTTATTGAATGGTAACCATTGGTTACAAGAAATTGCTTACAGCAATTTTTGCTTCATTACAAATCACATGTAATTTACATTGATGCTCAAGATTTTTACTTAAAAATAAGTATAACTGTGAGACATAAGATTTTTTAAAATTATGTACAGCTGTTTTGTATTTAACATCAAAAACAATATTATTTATTACTACACTGTAAGTTATTTAATAAGTAACTTATTGAAGTATTAAAAAACAATAATCAATATAATACAAAATATATTAGTCTAAATATTATCTAATATTCATTTATTTATAGTTAGTTATTTATTTATATATCATTTGGTATCAGAACTATGAATAATGAATGTTCCTATCAAAATATTTCAATTAAAATTATATTTTGAAAACTTGTCTTTATAATTTATTATTTTATAAATAATTTAGTTTTAAAATATCATCAAAATATTAATGTCTGTGTTGGCTTGATTTCAACTCAATTATTCATTTACAATTGACATTTAAAATAATACTAACATATTACAAGTAAATAAATGTAATTATTTAATCCAAGGCTTGAATAACATTTGAATGTTCATTATTTACTTATTTTCAAAGCTATTCATAAGAAGTATAGAATAATGTAAAATTAAATAATCCAATTAGTATTATATATAGGACAAAGATGATCTTTGTTAATATCCTACGAAAGATGACCTACTAAGAATAAGACTAAGAACATATTGTTCAGTACTTCTTTTTGAAAAACGCTTAATCAGTAAAATAATATTTTCTAAATTACATGTGACATACATATACATTATAATAATTTAAAATTAAATTATAATATATTTGTTTTTTGTTGTATTTTTTTTTAATTAATAGATTTCTAATAAATTTGAGAAATTATCATATCATTATGTATGAAGAGTTTGTAAAGAAACACATAAGTGTTCATAATTGTTTTACGTTGTGTATGAATTGATATATGCAGTAAATTAAAAGATTCTCATATAATATAAGTTGTGATTACAATGCGATGTATAAAAGGATCCTAACGACTCTCATTTCAAAATTAGTAAATTTCAATTGGTCTTCGCATTTTTTTCGTTGCTTTTTAACGAGATTAAAATAAATTTTGGCAGTGGACACCTTTCTCAACATCAGAATGTAAACAGACTTGCACTTGAACTCAAAGTTATAGTTTATGGATGTATCCAACCAAATTTTGAAATATCTCAGAATGTGGTTTTAAAGTTCTTAGTGTGTACATGAATATAAAGTTAGTATATTTGTTGGTTTAACTTGCACATTGTGGAAGTCCTTTCATTGAGAGAAAACAAATATTATTTTTGTTTTAGTTAACTCTTAGATATGGTAGATATGGTTGTTAACAATTACTATATATGTTCTCTTTTCTTAGGTTCTGAGTCTTGCTATACTTGCCTCAAATTTATAATCAGTGCTTTTGTAATTATATTGCATGTCTCAATTAATGCTAATACGATTCATCCCTCCTCTCTGTCTCTATTTTTTATTTATTTTATTTGAGTATATTGACGACGTTCGTTTATTTTATTGTTTGATTTGATTTGTTTTATTATTATTATTTTTTTGAGTAATTTGTATATTATTATACCTAACCACTATAGTGTCGATGCAACACGCTTTCAACTACAACTTGGGGCCTGGACATGGCCAGGGCCTCGGACAAACACTTGGTGGTGGCCAATCCAATCCAACGCATCAATGGAATTCGCAACAGCACCCAAGTAAATACCCCCCAGTTTAAAAACAGAAATGAATAATAATATATTTACCACTTCCAGTTCCTAAAAATAACACATTTTAACAATTATATTAAATTAACAACAGTCTGACAAATATTAATTTTATATTAGAAAGCATTACTAATATTTTTACTTTATTATTTTTTTTTCTTCAAATTTGAATTTAAAATATTTTGGAAATTGTTTTATTTTGATTTAATTTGTTCTTCAAATGTTTTATTCTATTTTAATTTCAATGGGAGGTTGAAAGTGTACGAGTAGCATTTAGCCGTTTCTTATGTATTAGATGGTGTTATATGCATAATGAATGCGATCAATGTTTAAATTTTGATGTATTTGAGGAAGGAATTTAAGCTCTTAATGCAATCTGCAATCTTTCCTTGAATACTTTTTATTTTATGGTGCGAGTATGCCTGTTTTTTAATTTATTGGAATGTACTTTATAATTATTATTTTTACTAGATGTTACGATTCAATTTAATCGATCTTCCAGTCCCCCTCGAAACACCTTTATTTATATGTTATCGACATTTCTTCTATTCGTACTGTTTGATACCATTTGGAATGCATTAAATATTTCTGCTTATGTTCGTGTAGATGTATTATCAAACATGGACATGATTGATTTGGAAAACGATCTGCCTGATGAGCTGATGTCGTCGGGGAGCTCCTGGGGAATGCCCGACAACATGGGGGGAAACAGTAAACCTCCCGCACAAGGCCCCGGCCCTGGTGGACCAATGCAAAACGGTGGAATCGACAACGACGGTCCAAACAATGCATCTATGAGACAGATACAATTAAACCACCATTTGCTTCAGGTATTGCATCCTTAAACTATCTACATGTAACGACAGAAAGTATACGTAAATATTGTTATTTTAGTCCAAAGGGCTGATGGGCAACACGCTTTCAATGGCCGTTAACCAGCTAGGCAGCAAGAGTCCTATATTACAGTCACCTCCCAATGTGACTTTGCCAAAGGCAATTGTAGGAGAGTTGTCCATGGGAGGAAATATCCAATCTAGCATTTCGAACAACATTGGTTTGCAATCAATAGCAAACAACGGCAGTTCGCCACAAGTAATGAGCTCTATACAAGGTGAGATTTAAAAAAGAGAAGTACAACACTCCTGAGAAAGTTTCCTAAATCTGTGTGCAGCTGTCCCTCATCCGTTTTGTCAATCCCGGTTTGTTATTACCTGGGTGATATCTTGACTCGTCTCCCCTTGTCCGTACCATCCTTCCCCTAGCGTGCATTGCAACCCTTGCTCTTTGTTACGCACGTTTTTTAGTAGGGTTATGATCGGCTTGTTTGAAGAATAAAAAAATAATGAATTAAATTTAACCAATGCACTATGTAGTGCTATCTACATTTGACATACATTAAGTGCTTAAGATTTACAAATGTGTACAATATTTTGTAGGTATCAACAATAGCGGGGGTAGCAGCAACATGGTTATGAGCAATAGCAGTATGAATACGATGAGTGGCATGGGTGGAGGCGGTTTGGTAGTCAGCAGCAGCACCATAAACAAACCGAACGCCCCGAACATGTTAGCCCCTGGCCATCTTCCGAACAACCACAATGTTGGTTTGCAAAATGGTCCGATAATTAGCCGTTCAATAAATCTGCAAATGAACCAGCGTCCGCTGGGACCCCAAAGTGTTCATCAAATTGGTGCTCCTAGAATGCAGCCACCTACAATGATTTCGTGTGGACCGCCTGGACAGAACATCACTGGCGGCACGCCATATGCGTATCCCAATGGGGGTCCGCAAGGTGTACCCCAAGTTGGAGGTGAGTTATTCGTAACATGGAATATTTTTAAAACATAATTATTAATTATCCATTGCTAGTAGTAGCTCCTCAACAAAGAGGTAGCGGTTTGAGTTTACAGCAGCGCTTCATTAGTCCAACCGGAAACGTTGGTCCCCAAGGAGGCGGTGCAGGTGGTGAAGGCGGCATGGCCCAAACCCAACTACCTGCCCCGTCTCCAGCACAACCGCAGTCTGGTGCTCCAAGTGGGACACAACCTGGACCACAGACTGCAACTCAGAATCAAGTTGGTGTACCTACGCCATCCACCGATCCAGAGAAAAGGAAGTTGGTTCAGCAGCAGCTTGTACTGCTTTTGCACGCGCACAAATGTCAAAGACGAGAGTCACAAGCAAATGGTGAAGTGGCGCTCCCACATTGCACCCTTCCCCACTGCAGAACTATGAAAAATGTACTAAACCACATGATGACATGCCAAGCGGGCAAAAGTTGTGCAGTTCCACACTGTAGTTCGTCGAGACAAATCATAAGTCATTGGAAACATTGCGTGCGCAACGACTGTCCAGTATGCTTACCTCTTAAGCAGGCAGACAAGAATAGAAACAACCCCACTGGTATGTACTCGTTCGATTATTAATATTATTAGTATTTATTTTATTTGCAAAATGAGATAATTTCAATGATTTTTTTTTCAGCTGCCACTACAGCCCCACAAAGTACGCAGTCGCCAAATCCATCTCCTGTGGATATGAGACGAGCCTACGATGCTCTGGGAATTCAATGTCCGACTACTTGTGCTACCCCACCTTCTGGATTAATACCTAACATAGCGGGAGTACAAACGCGGCATCGACTTCCTCTATCCGCAGGTTCTAATATGTGTGTGAGGGTTTTGGCTCCACCTCAAAATATAGTGGCGCCAAATGTAAGTCTACCATTGGGCAGTAACGACTCGCCTGCATCTCAACAAAATGCAGTTGCGCAAGCGGCTGCTAACCTTCCGCAAAGTGTTTCTAATAACCAGTTATTTGGACTCGGAAACGAAACCAATAATGCCTCTTCCTTGGTTGGTTCGGATAATAGAGTACAATTACCAGCTGGTTTACAACCGGGCCAGGTGACGGCGACGCCTGTCCAGGGTACAAAGGAATGGCACCATTCTGTAACGCCCGATCTCCGAAACCATTTAGTCCATAAATTGGTCCAGGCCATATTTCCCACACCAGATCCTCAAGCTATGCTTGACAAGCGAATGCATAACCTCGTGGCATACGCGCGGAAGGTTGAAGGTGATATGTATGAAATGGCCAATTCCCGATCTGAATATTACCATTTACTGGCCGAGAAAATTTATAAAATCCAAAAAGAATTGGAAGAAAAGCGGCAACGTAGGAAAGAACAACAGATGCAATCCCAGCAACCTCAGTTAAGGCCAGCACTGCCTGGGCAGCAACAACAGGTTGGAGTTCCTCCTGGCGTAGTAGTACCTCCACCAAGGCCTCCGGGTGTTGTACCCGGTTCAATGTCGCAAAATCCAGCTCAAGGTCTCCGAAGTAATTCTCCAGCATTAGGTGGCATGAGCATGGGATCTCAAATAAATAACTGTAATAATCGTATTCTATTTACGGGCCAAAATGCTCAAAACGCCCAACAACCTAATGTTGTTGGTTTACCTGGACCATCACCTACAGCTTCGATCAATAATCCAAGTCTGTCACCATTTAGCCAACCAATGTCACAACAGAACACCGGTCAAGGCACCCCAACATCTCAATTTTCTACTAATTCGAATGGTCCAACGTTACCACTGAGTTCTCCTGCTGGTAGTGGAGGTGGCATAGTGAACTCTGCTGCAACCAATGGAAACCAAATCAATAATGTTGCTGCAAATAATGCCTCGCAGCAACAGCAATTCAACGATGTACTGAAGAGTCGACCGGCACCATCGCCGTCAGCTTTCGGTCTACAGCAAAGCGGATTAAACTCTCAGGCCACCCAACAACAGCAACAACAACCCCAGCAGCAGCCACAACAACCAAACGCTAGGCTATCAACGCCTTCAGACGTGACGACACCGCATACATCGGCAGGACCGAAATCTGTGAGCTCGTCGCGGGGTGCTAGTCCTGCTCCGGCAACACCAATAGTGGCATCATCTCCAGCACCTACAGTAGCAAGTCTCGGTAAGTCTCATTTTTTCTTTTTTGTTATACATTTAAATGATAAATGTATTAATCTTTTTGTTTAATTGTAGGTAAAGGAATGTCGAACTCGGAAAGGGCAGCTCAATCAAACGTAGTTCGTCCATCTAATATGTCATCTATAATATCGGCAATTACTGCTGCTGCTGACCGAAATGATGATTCGCCACCTCCGTCAAACGGCGGCGCTGGAGGCGGAAAACTAGATCAAATAAAACAAGAGCCGATGGACTGTAAAGACGATGGTAATGGGGATGGAATGCATGCATCCGACAATGGTTGTTCCGGAGGAAAAGGCATCAAGACTGAAATCAAAAGCGAACCGATTGATAATGATAACGATAATAAAGATGATATGCAGATAAAACAGGAACCGCGTACCCCTTCAGAGGGTTCTTCCAGTCAGGATATTAAACCTGCGACCAATATGGAAATTATGCCGGGAATGAACAATCCAACGAAGCGTAAGATGTCGCTAAATTCGTGTTATTTGTAACCTATTAATGAATTGTATACTGTTCCAGTTTTTAAACCAAACGAGCTTCGCCAGAAATTGATGCCCACATTGGAGAAACTGTATAGACAGGACCCCGAGAGTATACCATTTAGGCAGCCTGTTGATCCCAGTTCCCTGGGTATTCCAGATTATTTTGATATTGTGAAACGTCCTATGGACTTGTCTACGATCAAGAGGAAACTAGACATTGGACAATATTCTGATCCATGGGAATATGTAGACGACGTGTGGTTAATGTTTGACAACGCATGGTTGTACAACCGGAAAACAAGCAGAGTCTACCGATATTGCACTAAGGTAAGTTGGACGACTAATCAATAATGCGCAACCTTTCCCCGCTATCGACGTTTCAATATGGCGCTACCCCTAGAGCAGGCGTTTGCTTATTAATCCACGTCTGTGTAAGATTCTCACTAATTACATTTCTTATTCCAGTTGTCCGAGGTGTTTGAGCAGGAAATTGATCCTGTTATGCAATCAATTGGTTATTGCTGTGGACGTAAATATACCTTCAATCCACAAGTCCTCTGCTGCTTTGGGAAACAACTGTGCACCATTCCAAGAGACGCCAAATACTATAGTTACCAAAACAGGTCAGTACTTTTATTTTGTATTGGGTCGATTTATTTATTTAATATTTTTGATCACGATTATTACAATTACATTTATAATTTCATATTTTTGAGTTTTTGGTGCTTTTATCAATACTATAATGTACATATATATCTAGGGCGTGGTCAATGAACAATACTTTAATACATTTAAAGTACTTTTCATACAATATATAACAAGCAAGCAAGCTTAGTGAGTGTGCCATTTCCTTTTTGACTTAAAACAAAATTTTGCAAAATGATGAAAATAATTTTATTCACTAAAAATGTATAATGGCCATTATTTTATTCATATTGATTACTAGATTTATTAATATTATAATTTGTTATTGGTTTTATCTTCAGCCAATATTTTTAATTTCATTTAATTGAATTTATTTAATTTGTGTATATGAGAAAAATCAATACCTTATATTATTACAAAATGGCGGATCACAAGGATATGGTCGCAAAAATATGTTAAGTGTAAATTTGCCAAAAGTAGAAATGTTTGTAATAATGTAAACATGATTTTCTTGTAGCATTAAGTAAAATGATGAATATTTATATGTAAAACATGATGATTGTATGAATTTATTTCTAATATGTGAAAAATGTTTCTATTTGTTTTTGGTTTCCGTTAACGCCTTTGAATATCCATACTACTGACATATGCTCATACAACAATACTATAACTACAACACGCATATTCGTATGATCGCTTTGCCTTCTAACCTTCACTTATTGGGCTTAAAAATCACAAAACCTTCGCTTTGTGACTGATGATCAACAATTATGACAACAGTTTAAAAGCTTATGGTCTCGGATCCAACAGATATACTTTCTGCCAGAAGTGCTTCAACGATATCCAAGGGGATACTGTAACGTTGGGCGACGATCCTACCCAAGCTCAAACGTAAGATTTTTTAGCGTACTCAAATTATACAATATTAAATTATATACGTATTTTCATTTTAGCGCTATCAAAAAAGAAGAATTTAAGGAAATGAAAAACGATCATTTAGAGATGGAACAGTTTGTAATCTGCAATGACTGCGGTCGAAAACTTCATCAAGTATGTGTTTTGCACATAGAAAATATCTGGCCATCCGGCTTTATGTGCGACGAGTGTCACAAGAAGAAAGGCTCGAAACGCAAGGAGAACAAATTCAACGCGAAACGTCTACCAGTTACAAAGTTGGGAATATATATTGAAACAAGGGTTAATAACTTCTTAAAGAAAAAAGAATCTGGAGCTGGAGAAGTCAGTATACGTGTTGTATCCAGTTCGGATAAATTAGTGGAAGTTAAACCTGGAATGCGAAGTAAATTCGTAGAAACTGGTGAACTGAGCAATGAGTTCCCTTATCGTGCAAAGGCATTATTCGCTTTCGAGGAAATCGATGGAGTAGATGTTTGTTTTTTCGGAATGCATGTGCAAGAATATGGTTCCGAATGTCCATCGCCGAATACGCGGCGAGTCTACATCGCCTATCTAGATTCGGTTCACTTCTTCAAACCTCGTCATTGCAGAACTGCAGTTTACCATGAAATAATCTTAGGTTATTTGGATTACGTCAAAAAGTTGGGTTACACTATGGCTCATATATGGGCATGCCCTCCTTCTGAAGGTGATGATTATATATTTCATTGTCATCCATTGGAACAAAAGATTCCGAAACCAAAACGGCTCCAAGATTGGTATAAGAAGATACTAGATCGAGGAATCATTGAGAGAACTGTTCTTGATTATAAGGATATTTTGAAGCAGGCCATGGAAGATAATTTGCGATCGGCGGCTGATTTGCCTTATTTTGAAGGCGATTTCTGGCCGAATGTTCTCGAAGAAAGCATTAAAGAACTGGATCAAGAGGAGGAGGAAAAACGCAAACAAGCTGAAGCTGCTGAGGCCGCCGCCAATGCGGTAAATGTTGTATATTTCATGGTAATTCAAACAATTTTAAATTATTAATTATGTTTTGCAGATTTTTTCCATGTCCGAAGATTCTGAAATAGGCGCCGATGGAAAAAAGAAAGGTCAGAAAAAGGCTAAGAAGAGTAATAAATCAAAAGCCAATCAGAGGAAAAATAGCAAAAAATCAAATACTCCTCAAACTGGTAACGACCTTTCAACAAAGATCTTTGCCACCATGGAAAAACACAAAGAAGTTTTCTTTGTGATTCGTTTGCATTCTGTGCAGTCTGCAGCTAGTCTTGGGGTATGATTTCATATTGATATTGTTTATATTTTTTATGTATTAATATTTGTGTTTCTCCGTTACAGCCAATTCAAGATCCCGATCCATTTATCAGTTGCGATCTCATGGATGGTCGTGACGCCTTCCTTACGATGGCACGAGAAAAGCATTACGAATTTTCCTCGTTGCGTCGTGCTAAATATAGTACAATGTCCATGTTGTATGAACTCCACAATCAAGGACAAGATAAATTCGTGTACACTTGCAACAACTGTAAAGCTCACGTAGAGACACGCTACCATTGCACCGTGTGCGATGACTTTGATTTATGTATTCAATGCTACGAGAAAAATGGGCATCCACATAAAATGGACAAACTTGGTTTGGATTTGGATGACGGTTCGTCCCCAAGCGATTCTAAACAACAAAATCCACAAGTGGCGAGAAAGGAATCGATCAAAAGATGCATCCATTCACTGGTGCATGCATGTCAATGCCGAGACGCCAATTGTCGCTTGACCAGTTGCCAAAAGATGAAACGTGTAGTTACACACACGAAAGTTTGCAAGAGAAAAACGAATGGTGGTTGTCCCATATGCAAACAACTTATTGCCTTGTGTTGTTATCACGCTAAACACTGCCCTGAAACCAAATGTCCAGTGCCATTCTGTTCGAACATCAAACATAAACTTAAGCAGCAACAACTCCAACAAAGGTATGAAACAATTATACAACTATCTTTTATAAATCTTCATGCCATATTTTACCACTATGATTATCTTTGTTGTATGTTCATATAAATTATTTGTATGTTTACTGACTATCCTACTATCTTTATTTCCTTTTAATTCACTTAAAATTGCCTTTACTTCTACCCATCCTTAAAAACATATTGTCAGCTTCCTATTCCACACCTCAAACATCTTTTTTGCAGGGCTGAAGGTGAGGACCTTCTAGTTATCATTTTATCGTCTCAAGCTAGAATAATAAAATAATAAGGAACTTCCCCATTTCGTCCTTGTGCTCTACATCCAGTTGATACAGCAGGATAGATCTCCTATATTATCATCCTCTTTTGGAAAGGATTCTTCTATTTTAAATCTTTTTGAAGTTTCCTTTCCCTCAGTAAAAAGAATATTGTACCCGTGGTATATGAAGATGTCTCAAGTCAAAATATTAAAATGAATATTCAATGTTACATGTTTAATTTTATCGATTCGTCTCTCGCAGATTACAACAAGCTCAACTGTTACGTCGTCGTATGGCTGTGATGAACACGACGAGAGCCCAAGGAACGAATTTGGTCAGCAACAGTGTTCCAATGGGAGTACAAGGTGTTGTTCAAAATGTTGTACCGGCAGCTGCTGTTAGTCCATCGATGAATGCAGCTGGAATGGGCAATGCAGGTGGCATGGGCGTACCTTCACCACATCAACCTGGAATTGGTATGAAACCAGGTACCCAAACACCGCCAGCGAATGTTCTTCAGGTAGTGAAGCAAGTCCAAGAAGAAGCAGCTAGACAGCAGGGATCTCATGTTAGTTACGGAAAAAATAATCCTAGCGGCGTAGTTCCTGGCCAGAATATGCCACCACCCCAAATCCAACGACCTTTGGGGCATATGGGTGCTGGACAAGGTAAGGGCTTTGCAAATATGGAAATATGTCATGTACTATTTATTAATTTTTGAATTTAAATTATGTTTAGGTGGCAACTTATTACCTATGGAACAATGGCAGCATAATAGATATCCGGGTAGCGTAGGGCAAGGTATTAGGCAGCCTGGACCAGGCCAAGTGATGCCTGGTCAAGGTTGCCAAGTGGGTGGTGCTCCTAGTCATATGCAAGGTAACACGCCGGCCGTGAGAACTGGAGTGGCAGGCATCAACCCGCAAGGTGGCACTATGCTTCATAATAAACAAGCACTTGCCCAATTAATGCAGATGCTGAAATCTCCACAACCTCAATCCCCAGATCAACAAGCACAGATTTTGCAAATACTCAAAACGAATCCACAATTGATGGCAGCTTGTATCAAACAACGACAGGTTAGAATAAAATTCACAATTCGCGAACAATGTTCATTAACACAATTCGTTACTGCATCTTTCAGGCTCACGCTCAGGCAATGCAAAACAGTGGAGGAGGCGGCGTCGGTGGAAACCCTCAGCAGCCTCAGTTACCTCACATGCTCAGCCAGCAGCAACCTGCGCAATTGCAGGGTAGAATGCAGATGCAGCAAACTCCAATGATGGGACAAGGTGGTCAGCCAGGCGTTCCTGGAAACCAGGCTGGACAAATGACGCAGCAACAACAGCAGTGGTATAAGCATCAACAGATGTTGCAGATACAACGGCAGCAACAGCAACAATTACAACAGCAACAGCAGCAGCAACAACAACAGCAGCAGCAGCAACAGCAGTTCCAACAACCACCATCGTACCAGGCCCGCCTGCCGGCGTTACGGCAACCATCGATGGGCTACAACAACTTCCAGGATCAACAGTATCCACCGCCGATGCAAGGACTGAAACCAACGCCGCCACCTGTGCCGTCCCCGCAAGGAGTGATGGGGCCACCGATATCGGTTCAGCAGCAGCTCATGCAAAGTGTCCGGTCGCCGCCACCAATTAGATCGCCCCAACCGAACCCTTCGCCCAGACCTACACCCAGCCCGCGCAACCAACCAGTGCCGAGCCCCAGAGGCCCGCAACCCTCTCCCCACGACCTCGCCGCCTCTGAAATGCTTTTAGGACAAAATCATACGAATCAACAAGATAATGATGTACCTACATTGACTCCCCAAGACCAATTAAGTAAATTTGTTGAACAGCTTTAGTGGTGAGTGCATTCGCCGAACTAAAATTACATGGTGCTGTGTTAATATTTAAAAAATAACTTCGTACAAAGTGATTTCTCTTATCATGATCATTTACTTCATTTTTAACTTTATATATATACATATATACATATATTATTTTCTTTATTATTTTTTTTATTTAAATAAGTGTATACTTAAAATGACATTTCCATGACTAGATGTCATGATTGTAAGTTATGTATAAAGTTAGATTTTAATACTTGAATGAAACAACATGGTTTTAAACATTATTTGAACGAAAAATTCAATTAAGAACAAACATAAAAGAGGATTCAATTGTAAATATGTTTAATAATTTAACAAAAAGAACTTTATGGACCTTTGTATATTGTATAGAGGTATACAATGTTAGTGAAAAGCAGATAAAAGTTTACCTAAAAGTATTTCGCTTTGCGAGGCTGTGTTATAATTTTCTCTTTCTTAATTAATGAAATGATGATAAACAAAGAAAACATAAAAAAAGACGGATTGTTACCTAGATGAACGCAAATCAACTTGAGATATCAAAGAAATTATAAATTCGTTTTGTTGTAATTCGAAAAAAGTTTTTCATTTTGGCTAAAGTTTTCAAGTTTCTACTCTGAAGATACGAAAAACAAACTAGAATTCGTGGGGACTAGTGCGCGCGTGCATTACTACAAATATATATGGAGAGGAAAAAATTTAAGAAACGTTACAAAAGACTCTAGACTAGTGATAAATCCAAAAAAAGAGAAATGAGAGAAGTTAAATCCCGATCGATGAATTCGCTCTCCCAAGATGATGTTTATTTGGAAATTTCAGAAGAGAAGATTAAAAAAAAGTGAAAACTTGTTTTTATATAATATATTTATAATTTATATTACATATAGATATATATTGAATATATGAGTTTATAATTACATTCCACATCGTGGGGTGTTTTATTCGTAAATTATCGAAGACGAACATTTGGCAGCTGGCACAGTTTTTTTTCCTTTCTGTTTTTATTTTATTATTGTATCATACATTTCCTTTGCATATATTTATATCTATATATATATTTACATATATATATGCATATACTTATATTTCTTATTTTATTTTTGACAATCGCGATAGCAGCCAGTGCAATACTTCAATAAACATTCGAACTTGTGAGAAGAGAAGAAACGGAAGGAAAATGGTAGTTTTTTTTATTATTATTATTTAATTTAAAGAGAAAGTAAAGAAGATTAAAAAGAAGTGAACACTCCCTCCTTTATTTATTAACTTGAATATAGGATTACTATTTAGTAGTATTATATATTAAAAAAAAACAAGAAACAAACAATATATTAAAAAAATAATAAAAAAATATTTGTTTTTATTTTTTTCTTGTGGGGGGGTTTTCTTGGTTTACGTTAACGGCGAGGTTTTTTCTATTAGAATTTCGTTCGTTTTCGGACCTTTATTGTTTTATTTCATTTCATTCGATAAGGGTAAGTTTATTTGTTGAGCGTCGAATTTCCGGGAAATAAATCTTTGTATTTCAAATTTTGGGCACCTTTCGTTAAAAAGAAAACACTAAATGTATTCCACAGGAAACACTCGACGCATTCAGATCTGCGTGATCTGCATACGAACGGGAACTATATCCGGTGTTACTGTTTTTTTTTGCTTTCCTCAATTTATATAATTATATACATATATATTTATTAATTACCTTTGTTGTTATTTGTTTGTTTATATTTTGGATTGTGTGAATTCGTGCAGTTGCGTCGATCCTTGTTATATAAATTTAGATCTCGAATGTCGAAGTTAAGCATCCGCATTAAGGAACCGAAAACACAAACTGTAAGACAATCAAACTACCTAGGTGTTAGCGAGTTGTAAATTGTACATATTTGTTAGTAAATTATTTGCATTACAGAAATAAGTTTGTTTTCATAAAAGATAATATACGAAAAATTGGTAATCACGTTATCTCGTTGCACAACCGATACAACACCTTGTTGTGTATTATTATCGCCGTCTCGAGGTGGCCCATTCAGGCTAGTCACATTTCGGAAATCGTATTAGTATAGTGCCGCGCTTCCAACGAAAGTGGCTTGAACTTATGTTACTTCCTATTATTTCCTGCAACGGTGCTAGTCGTGAATCAACATAATGAGTGTAATCTTAAGAACCATTTGGAGTTTATTGAGGAAATTTTATTTTGGTATGTTAATAATTATCTTTCACTTAATTAAACTTAGATATACGTAATGCGAGAGATTTCTATCTTGATAAGTTTTTTTTTTTCAAAATAATATTTCAAGTAATTTCAAAATTTTCAGACACATGAACAACAATCTTTGATAAATACATTCCGCAAAAAATATCGTTTTCTTTAAAGCAAAGAGAACTAATTCAGCTCTCGTTCGATACTTGATAATCTGATATCTGCTATAACGAAATCTATACAAAGAAAGGCCTATTTACAATTTAATCCACTTTGGAAAAAAAAAATACCAATTTAGTTTCCTACTGGATTGTAACATAATTCTCAAATGAATTATTGTCAATTAACTTGTGGAGTTGCGAAGTTATGTGGAGAGTTCAAGTGTAAATCCCATTAAAGTTTCGCCGAGAAGCTATTGAAAATGCTTGGATTTTCCGCTGATTTAGTTGATGTTCTTAATTATAAACGCATTTAATTAATTAATGCTAATTAGATAAACGTCGTCAAATGATTTTATTTGAATTATTATATTCGATTAAAAACCAAAGTATTTCGGATGTGATGAACCCTTTATTTCCAAGGCTTAAATACAATTTCTTTAAGGGAACTTCTGGGAAGTTCTTTTGACGAACGTTGTATATGTAAATATGATATATATATATTTTAGTCCATTATATAGTTTCTATGCAATAATTTATTGTGATTTATTTGTGTTTTCTACTTGTAATTGTATAAAATCGGTAGCTATCCTAGTAAATCCTTACTTCTGTACGATATTAGACTATTAAGAATCGGTATTTCTCGTTTATTTCTTCTTCAATTTGTTGATTTATCTTCTCCGCTGATTGCCAATATATTCTAGATTAAACGAAAAAAAAAAAAGAGAACCGATCCATCGATAACTATATGAAATATTGAATATATTGTATTATATACGTATAAATTTAAAAAAAAAAGGAAATTTATAATGTATTGTAAAGTATCTAAATATAGGAAGTTTATTGTAATATTTTTTAAAAAAATGTAAGAAATAATCGATATATAATAAATATTTGTTATAACTGTTTAATTGAATTGTTGACCAACATTTTCTTTCCGCAATCGCTGAACCGTATCAATGGAATTGAATTGAAAGTGATGAGAATAACGTGTAATAAATTATGTTTGGTAATCGAGAATTCGCATTAGCTGTAGAGATGTGTAGATACGAGTACAAATTATTATATTAGACTATGGATTATACACTACAATGTAAATATTTAATTGAAATTATTAAATCTACTATTTTTTATTATAATTGATAAATTATTGCAACGTAGACACGTGATGTCCCATTTTATTTTGCGTCAGAAATGAGCAAAATTTTCCATCATAGTAGTCTTATCACACGCTGTTAATATTTCTATTATTCCCAAATCATGGAAATAATACAGTTATCTTATTTTAAAAAAGAAATAAGAAAGTAGAACCTGACCGATAATAACTAGACAATTCAAAAATTAAACATAGTTAAACCTGTTTCTATTATCACCAGCCGCCATTGATAATTTCATTATGGTTAAAGGTTATGCAAATCATAGATATATACAACTGTTTTGTTTATTACTGTATTGGGACAAATCCAATTATCTTATTTAAGGTTTATGAGTAGATTTGAGTTCTTTGATTTAACATCAATCCATTAGCAATCAATATTTTATCTATATTCATTTTCATTTTATAATTAACATTGAAGTTAATTAAAATGTTTATAGTATTTAGCTACTAGATTATTTTCATGAAGATAGAAGTATCATAAATATATTCAAACAAATGTATATTATCTGAACTAAGTTCTAATATTCTACATTTTCATACATTCTTTTCTAGGATATTTCTCTTTGTTAGAATCGTTGATGTATTTAATATTTTTATGTCATAAGGTTGTTCAATACGACCATTATTTATTTAAATAACTGTGCTTTTCTTACTTATTCAGATTATCGTAAATTTCAAATGAATTTTCTTAGTTTTAGACCTCTAACATCGACTAAGAGATGTTTTCATTATATCATCAATAAAATAATCAAAGTAAATCATATGTTTGAAATTGGTTACTAATTGATACCTTTGTACTTTTCAAGTATCATAGTTCTCATCAAGTTTACTAGATAAAAAAATGTAGACAAAATAATAATAGATAAAATAACCTGTTGTGAATAGTTTTGCTAAATATACATATTTTTGGAACTACGCAATAATTTAATACTGATTTTCATCAATTTTTACGTTTCCAATCTGAAAATTGTCATATTCAAAGCAAATTCTTTAAAATTGTCTTGCGACCTCTAGTGGAGATATATGGAAGAATAATCTTCGATGACGGTAAAATAGATGGCCTACGGTACGAATTTTGAAGTTTGCCTGTTGCAAACCGGAATAAAGTTGCGGTTTTCGAGAGTGCGAAACTTTAAACTTTGCCAATTTGAAAAGTCATCGATATCCGGCGATAACAGTCTAAATATAGTCGAGATGTCCTCCTAACAACTGGAGAGGCTTTCCATTCACGTTCGGTACAGAAGTGTGGCAGATGGATGGACTGGAAAGAGTGAGGGGGAACACGCGTACGACAAACACTGTTGAGTATGACTCTGTTGTTTGGCCCCGATCGGTCATCCTTCTCTCTTTCGTTCTTTCACACTAGCATTTCTCTCTCTCTCTTCGTCTCACTCATTCGCACACGCACGTTGGCGGTCTTTGTCTGTTCGCTAGTTCACTCTCTCTCTCTCCCCACAAACTGTTTAGCTATTAGATTTCCCATGTTGTTGTAGTCACCGAAGACACACATGTGTTTTTCGTGCTGAATTCTGCTGGGATAATCATGACTCTGCGGACCGCCGGTGCTCCCGAATAGAATTCCACGCGAATTCCCA